GTGTCTAACCCATTTTTCCATAAAGCTAAATTGTAACTAATGGTGCAAATGAAATAATGTTTTAGTATTTTATATACTTTATACACTTCATTAGAGCCACATTTAACTATATTAAGGTATAATTATATACCTTAGTAGTCACTGAGGTATATAAAAAATACATAAGAAGGTTATGTCCTACCCTACTCTCATAAGAAGATAAATATATGTATGTAAATAAGCATAGTATGAAATAATTACAGTAAGTATAATAAAAGAGATAAAAGCAAAGTGCTTTTAAATTATAAATTACTTGCATTAATCTCATTTGAGTGTTTTAGACTACTTGATTATTAACAAAATCAACAACTTTGCTAAAGAAAAGAAATATGCTCCTTCTCGTTAATAGGACTTTTCTATTGCTAAAGCTAACTGTCCTCTACTGCGATGTGAAAAAGGCTCTAGGCTGACTAGGGTGAATTTCACAATGCAGTGCTTCCAAAACTTAATTCTAAGGCTCACCTAGGGCCCTTATAGAAACTATAGCTCTCCAGACCCCATACTGACCAAATAAATCAGAATCTCCAGTAGAAGAGCCTAGAAACCTATGTTTTTGATAAGCACCTCCCAAAGTTTTCTTGTAGAATGAGAGAGACTGGGTTTTCTATAAGCATCTTTGAGTACAGAACCTCCTCATTCATACATTCATTCAGTTAGCCAATATCTATTCAGTTCAGCATGCAAGATCAGCTTTTTCTTGATCTATGTCATTATATTCATTTTTTAGCTAAAAAAATGTGTTTGGTAAGTTATATATTTTTTAATTAATGTTGTTTATGCAACACTACCAAAATATACTGGAAACCAAATCCCCTAATAATATTCTCTCAGTACAATGCTTTTTACACTACCCTATGATGCCAAAAAAATTTTTAAAGAATCAAATTTCAGTGGGATTGTTACTGAAGTGTGAAAAAGCATTCTACTCACTGCCCCCATACATCTTTAAAATATGAAGAATACAGGACTTAAAATGTAGAAATAGATCAAAAGCTGTTTCCTTAAAAATGCTAACTTCCCAACTTTGAAATTTTGGCTACATTTTCTGTATTATATATTTCTGCCTTATGGTAGGAGGAAGAAAATGCTTTAGAAAGGCAGAAAGGAAGGTAAAAACAAATTTCTAAAAAGCTTGTTTGTTTGAAGATGTTGCTATTTAAAAAGAGACCTCCCCACATAATATATACTGTGACTTGGAGAAGCATAAGCAGATTTGTCCTATTTTTTTTCTGCATTTTAAAATTTCCCACTTCCTTTCTGACAACACCTCTTGTTCTCTTCCTTTCCTCTTTTTTTTTCATCAGGGGTTGGGGACAAGATACAATGAGGTAGAAAAGGAGAAAAAGGAGCAGGATTATAAGAAAGACACAGAGAACAGAAGCAGCATGATGGCTGGGGACAAAGGATTAGGCAAGAGCATAAAGCCCATGATTTTAAAGACTGCACTATTAATGATAAAAATTCAGTACATTAAAATAGTTCATTTGTAAAAGTTCAGTTAAACATAGGGCCTGCTAAAGAAGCAGAGTGAGAGAAAATCACCCAACTCCTCACCAGATGAATTTCATAGCAGCAGTGAAGCACAGAAACAGGCCTGTGTTCTGAAATGCTGTCGCCTTGCCTAATTTCCATTGCTATTTTCTGAAGTCCAGGTGGATATGTCAGGAAAATGAACACGAACATGAGTGCACCTCCTCCTCCTGCACAGAGTGCTGCAGGCACTGGCAGCCTGCAAAGTTAAGTCCTTCAGACGCTTGCAAGCCCACATTTCAAAAACCCTTACTCTGTAGGTATACAAAAAATTATTTATAAAAATAATCAATGACTCAACATACCCAGAGTGAAATGACTTATTTTATATATTTTACTTATAATATTTATCAATGTGTAAAATTTTATAACATTAATATAAAAATTTATTTAAAAAAAATTTTAGTAACATATTAATGATTTGCAATACTTTCATTAATTCCATGAATGATAATAATAATGATGAACTGTTTGTTATTTAAATAAATTTTTGTATAATTACATAATTCCCATGTAAGAGCCTCTATAATGGGAATGAAACAAACAACAGAAAATAGGTGACAAATTGTAACAGCTAAATATTTAAAGCTGATGTTACACAAAAATTGGAATTATATAGTTAGAGTATAAACTGATTAAATCATTTCTTTGGCCTAGAAAATAAAAATCCAAAGATGTTATTGTTTTAATTCTTTAGTTATTTTAAGTAAGTCTGTTTCTTAGTAAATCACTTAAACTTCTCAGAATTTGTTTTTCATCTGAAAATGGAGATGACAATAATGACCAAATAGAATAATTATGAGGCCAAAGCAAAGTATCCAGAACAGTATAGCAGGTGCTTACTAAATGTTAGTTTTCTCAGATGCCAAGTGCTAATATTCAATATCTCTGTTAAAATGGGGGAATTAAAATTTCTCACAAAATTCTTCTTTTTTATACTGAAAGATATGAACCAATTTTAAAAGTAAAAACTTGCACCAAAAGTCAACAAATCAGCTAAACCAGGAAAGGGAGACAGGTTAATGCTGTAAACTTCAAAAACTGACAACCAAGGAAACAAATAGATGATTCTGGAGCCTAAGAGAGCAGAACACTTTGTAAGACTCCTTATTCTATCTCCAGAACCCAGATGGGAGAGGCAGGAAAATGCTGAAAACTGTCACCAACATTCTTGTAAGAGAGACCATACCACTAAACTCATGGGTTTAGAAAAAATGCACTATTTTGTTCTCATTCATGAGCTTCCACTCGAGCTCCCCAAATTAACTAAATGGCCAATCATATTTAAACCATACTTGAATCCAATAATTCAGTCGGTCTCTGTATCTATTAGGGTTTAATGTAAGAAACAGAACCCACTCTAGGTATGTCAAACAGAAATTAGATAACTGCAAAATTTTCAGAACAGCCAGAAGAGTGGGAGTCAGCAATGCCTCCACTGGAGCCATTAGGTCCAAGAGCACTCCCCCATAACTGCAAGCCCGGATCTGAGACAGCCATTGATCCTGCTGCCCCTACCACCAGCACGACCGTGTCTTGACATCCACAAAGCTGGTAACACCTGAAACACCCTGCCACTGCCACAGCTGTCTCTTAATACAGTTTCTCTATTTTAGACATGGCTGCAGGAAAATGACCTCTTCCTCCCTTCTACCAACCAAAATATGAATGAGTGCACCCAAATCCTAGCTATAAAGAAAATGTGAAATGTTGTTATAAGCTTTTCAGTCTCTGCCCTACAGGAACACACCAGTGAAAGGAGAGTTGAATGGAGGTTGTGAATAGGTCTGCAGTATCCACTATGGATTTGGTGCAGCTGTTCAGTCCAATGGCCATTTCCCTCATAACCTGCCCCTTTGGTGACTCAACATCCACATGCATTTGCCTCTCAACAACTCAAGCTGTTTTCTTTCTTTTCTAACTATCATGACCATCTATCTATGTTAATACATCTCCAATATCAGTTTTAATATTAAAGAAGATGGAGGAAATCATAATTAATGTGCTAAGAACAGTGTGTTTGTTTCAGTGTATCTAAAGTACTGTTTCTTGAAGTATGGTCCAAATACTGCTTGCAGAAGAATGACCTAGAGTACCTGTTAAAAACGGAGACTAGGAGATCCATCTCCAGTGTATGAAATCAGAATCTCTAGAGTTGAGGCCCAGAAATCCACATTTGTAACAAGCTCCCAGATAATGTTTATCTCACTGTTTGAGAACCACTCATCTACTTTTAAGTGAGGAACTATTTTCCCCCAGCAAACCAGAACATTTATATTTTCTTGAACTTTTCTGCTCTCTGAATTTTATTGTAGGAGACAACAATGGATGGTCTTTACAACTTGACAAATATTTTGCCAATCACTTCAAAATGATTTCCCCAGATTACTTTGACGCAGAAATATCAGAATGCCGTAAGTAATCAGATGGGTTGAGTTGCCTTTTCCAGAATTTCATAAGACACCATGTCTTTAAAAGTTACATCCAACATATTTGTTTTTTTTTTAAAAAATAAAGGTTAGTTATAGTTTTTCTGTTGCAAATTCTATTAGATATACAGTCTTAATTTAAGAATTTTATTTAGAAATGACTCAAGGATCTTAAATATAAAAGTAATAGATCATGCCAGGTTTGTGAACAAAATTACTGTCAGTCAATCGGAGTTGCTATTTTATATGTCCCCTTTTTAGAATTACAATAAACTCTAATACAAAGGAGACTGTGAAAATAGAAGAGCAGAAAAGCTGTTCAGATCTTACTTTTTGTAAGTTAAAAATCTTCTGAGGTCTAAACTATACTAGAAAATTTACTACAAAAAAAAAAGCCTTATTAATTATGACCTGCGATGTTTAGTGATATACCAAAAACTTACGAAAATGATGAAGAGGAACGGTACAACCTCAAAGATTAACTTTATAATATTTTGGATCAGGAAGATCTATGTAATTCCTTTTAAATAAATTTAGTCTATTCTAATAAATTGTGCAAATGTAAATTTATACCTTGGAGCTGTAATTTTGATCTTTTCAAAACCTTAGTTAAAAAGCAGAGGTTAGGTGGAGGAATACTTTACTATAATTTTTCCTTTATGCAAATTACAGCTTTTGTTTTAATTTTTAAAATTTGGCATTATTTGTATTAGTTTTGTTATTATTGTATTACTCAAAATAGATTAATAAAAATTACTAACAACCCCCAGTTTGAGGGAGGTGCATTCCTCCCGTAAGTCTCAGTTTACTCAGCATTCTGTCTCGACCTCACTTTGTCTTCCAGAGTATGAAGACTATATTACTTGATCACTGAAAAGCTAAAAGCTTTGGGGAAAGAAAAAAGTTAACAGGTATAATTTAACTGCTAATGTAATGGGGAAAAAAATTAATGAATTAAGCCACATTATCTCAAAATATAGTTTTTATTTTCTTTTCATTTTATTGTATACGCTTTTCATAAATTTTAATTGAACCTTTGTATATCTCATCTTTTTCTCAAAAGGACACAAAGCTTTTATTTCTAAAGCTTTGTTCTGAATTTTGGAGTAGTTAGGTCAAAGAGGGAAAGTAAGGGGCTACATGACTTTCATTGTCTGGTTTGTAAAATAAAATTAAACAAATAGGAGGAAAATAGGTCAAGTCAGCAAGAGAAATAAATTTTTGCCTGATCCTGAACTCTGAGAGAAATTTGTCACAAAATACAGAGGTAATGTTTTTATTGGTACTTAGTAAAGAACACACATTTAATTTTTAATTGGAGTTTTTGAAAAACAATTTGAGGAGGAGTGGCAATAATTAAATATCTTTTTGAAACTTAAAAGCAGTATAAAAATGGGATAGAATGTATAGTGTAAAATTTGGGAGCGATACTTGAATTAAATTTCCTATTGTGCCACTTTATCTAAATCAGATTATTATAAGGATTTATTGGAAATTATTCCAACAATGGTTTATAATCATTTTTGGCTGAATGAAAGACTGTGAGGAATTCACATTTATGAAGTCACTTCTCAAGAACAGTATCACAGAAAACATTATATCTACTGTTAACTAATATATTAATAAAGCTTACATTTGAGGAATTTGGAAAGTACAGAGATTTGGAAAGAATTCTCTACTCAACCATAATTTCAGCCTTCAGAGGCTACCAGCATTAACCAGCTGGTGCAGTACTCATCTTTTTTTAATTTAACATAGTTAAAATTTCCTATATAAAATATTTTTATCATATTTTCAATTAGCATTTTTGTATTATCTAAAAGCATAATAATACTGTTTATATTTTTATAAGCATATAATATATTATTGTATGTTATTATAAACTCTTTTAAAATATTCTATCACCTATATTTTTAAGTGACGTAATTTGCTTAATCTTTTTTTGTTGTTGGATATGTGTTAGTTTTTTATTTGTTTGTCTGTTTTTTCCCTGTCGTAGGTAAACCTGTAATCAGCATGTATGGATTATCTTAACTCAGCCTCTATAGATAGAAAAAAACACACTGGAATCTTATTGCCCTCTATTTTTACCCTTCTTACTCTCAGGAACTTCACCTTCCTTTCAAACCCTCACCATCTTTTCCCTGCAATAGAAACACACATTCACATTAGATATGGCTTTTACGTAAAGAAGCAGATCAGTTTTCAGAGGTCCATAGTCAAAACTGTTATTTACAACTGTAAAATTATTTAACAGGACAAACAAACAGAGACTCATGGACATGGACTATAGACTAGTGATTACCAGAGAGTAGGGGAGAGGGGAGAGGTAGATATGGTAAAGAGTTTAAATATGTGGTGACAGAAAGAAATCTAACTATGGGAGGTGAACACACAGTGTAAATATATATGTGCCTTACTGTTAAAGCGTACAGCTGAAACTTAATGGATTTCATTAACCAATATCACCATAAATAAAATAAAATAAAATTGTTTAAAAGTCAAAACTGGAAGTCTGCAAGCAGAAAATTCTCATAGAAATTTTTGTTTGTCCTATGTTAAGTTAGATATTATCATTTTTAAAATAAGTAGTTATATGTAAAACATTATATTCCAGCATCTCTGAGGAAGTTGGTTGATTAAACTACACATGTTCCTATCCTAATATGGCAACAGTTAGGGAGAAGCTGTTCCACTGGGACATCTGGACACAGTCTACACCTGCTTCGCCTGTTCCCTGTAGGCATTTGAGTCTGGAACCTCTCTGCTCTACAGTTTATGGCTTCTAAGTAAATTTAGAGGGGAAGCACTCTTCATTGCTCTCAGTAATCATCTATTCCTCATCTCTAGAGGCAGAAATCAGACTGTATTTATTATGCTGAATAATAATTTCATTTTACCGTTTATCTATATGAACATGTTATTGCAAATCTCTCATAGGCTTTAGAAATATTGGATCACATCTTCAAGACTCTCACTACAGCTCCACACGGTGGCCAAAGTCATACACCCCATTCTCCCTCTTTCCAACACCCATTTATAAGAATAGAATAGCCATGTGCAAAAAATGTTCACTCCCATAAATGAAGTTTTAGACATCCTTACATCCCTATATAAGCCAGAAGATTACTTAAAAATACTTTGAAAAACTCCGGAGTTTTCCAGAAAAAAATAATCTACCAACACTGTAGTTAATATTTAGTCCTCCACTAAAGTTTTGGTTATGCTATCAATAAATACTTTATTCTTAAGTAGCTGCTTTAATGTGGAAATTAAAGCCCATCACACACTATCCTGTAACCCTCAGAAATAGCTTCTGTCCCAGGGTTAGTAAGAGCAGACCACTTTGTTCATTTACAAAAAAGTGGAGAAGAGCAATCTGCTATTTTTTTAAAAAAATGCGTGGCGTGGTAAATCTGTATATTTTTATATCTTAATGTTCTAGCACCATTATAATGTTAAATTAAAAGCAAACTTTTGGGGGGAATCACTGGGGGTCATTTTTTTCTTTTCTTTTTTTTTTTATTATGATTGAATAATAATTTAAAGCATTGCCCTAATGCCTAGGTAAGACATGACATACTCTTGTACAGAATATTTTTTATAGCTTTCCATTTCTTTCTTTTCATTACCCTCCTCTTCCTGGTCCTTCACTGTCCTCATTCCTTACTACCTTTTCTTTATTCAGTGGTCGGTTCTGTGCCCATGCAATGTCTTTGCCAAGGTTTAAAGCTTGACTGTGATGACACCAAATTACGAGCCATTCCATCAGTTTCTTCAAATGTGGCTGTAATGTAAGTAGAAAAGAATGGCTTCATCCTGACAGCCAGAATAGCACCTGTAAAATTGTATCATAATTAAGGCCTTGTCATTATTAATAATGCATTTTTTATTCAAAGATGATGTTATTGTTCCATGGTCGGTTGTAATGATTACTGATATTTATTTTGCATTTATTAAATGCAGTCCCCTATTTAAATTATTCCATGTATTAATTTATTTTAATTCCTCATAACAATCCTATGAAGTAGTTAGTATCACCGTATTTTATCTAAACAAAAGATTCATCAACTGTATATGCAACTAAAGAAAAAAGGTTGCCAATTAAATTATATAGAGCTTTCTAATTTCATAGTTTTTACTTCACACATATTGTAAATGCTCTTTCAGACTGTTTTGAACATAAATTTTGATACACTCATATATATAAATAAAAAAAAAACGAGTAAAATAAATTGGATAAAATATTTCCAGAACTTCATATTTAATATCTAACTCTTCTGAATCACATTTGACTCAGAGATGTTGATATGGGTTTTTTCCCCTAAGTAACTCAAACTTATATATGTAAAAAAAATATATCTTCATAATAAGCGGTTTGTTGATCCAGTACTAATTTGAATTCAACAAACTTCAGCAATGCAAGCACATACACATTTGGTTGAAACTTTCAAAAGAAATCAGCAGAGAATAGATATTTTAATTCAATATTTTACTGAGGTTTTTTGTTTTTATCTGGATGTTTTAGTGCCTTATGGCTCTGACTTTGGGTATATGAGAACAAAATAGGAATAATTCTTAAGTTTATAAATGTTGGCAAGTCCTGCCTTTTTAAACCCAAACCACATAACATAGCAACTCATATGCTTGGCATATATAAAGAATGGGAACAGTTATGGGGATATTAGTACCATCAAATTAACAGAACCTGGGGAGTTTACCCAATTGATAGTCACCTTAGGGAGTTTACCCAAATTGATAATGAGCTGAGAGTATCCGGCAGGTGAAGCCACAGAGACTTTTCCAAAGGAAAACTAAGGATAGAATTCTATCCTATCTTCAACTCACCATAGCTCTTTTTTATAGTAATTAGTCTTACTGGAAAAAATAATAATCCCTCCCAAAAAACATCTGAGGTCCTATGGGGAGTTTCCATAATTTAAATTCTGACTGGAACTGCTGGTTATAAAATTTATGATAATTTCATTTTATTTTCAAAGAAAAGAAATTATTACCTCCACTGCTTATATCAAATTACCAGAAATTCCAAACCAAAGGACACCCTGATGCTACCAATCTGATTTTTCATTTTCCACAAGTAAAATTTGATTTCATTCTTAAGTGATTTAGCTAACCTTTATAAAAGAGGAACAGGAGAGAGCTGGAGGAATGAAGGAGGATAAGGCAATGACTAAGTAGAGGGTCAAAGGCATTCTGATTCCATTAAGAAAAACTCTCTGGCTCAATAAATACATACATACATGCATACATGCATACATACATACATACATACATACATATATACAATAAAAATGTCTGCAGACATGTGAGCCACCAGTTTTTGACCCTTGGTATAAGGAAAAAAACTGGGATCTTATCCTCATAAATGATTGGCTTCAGAAAGATAAGGAAGAAGGAGGGGTCGAAGATGTCTGCAAGGTTTCTAGTCTGAGTAATGGAATGATCCAGGAATGGAGAGACTGGTGACAGTAAATGGGGAAAATTAGGATTTCTTTCAGTTTTTGAGATTAACAGGTCACTCAGCAGAAATTTCCAATGGACATTTGGAAATGTGAGAATGACGCTCAGGAGTTTATAACATTTTATTTCATTTTATTTTATTTTGTGTTAAAAATAGCATTTTTTTACACTTTCGGTTGAGCAGTTTGATTCAGGTTGTCCATTTCTTCTTTTCTCTGCAGAGCACTGACTCAGCCTCATAACCCTTTCCAGTCTTTGTTCAACTACATAGGGAAAAGGGACTCTAGGCTTTACAGCAAATACATTTGAAGAGTAAATATCAAATTTTATTTCTGAGTTCATTCCTTGTTTTGAGTTAGAACTATCATTGGTAAATGTCAGAATGGACTAAATCATATATAAATAAAGTATCAAAGAAGCCAGTAACCCAAGTAATATTCATTGAAGTTGGGGTTTTTTGAAGATGTTTCACATAAATACTAATCAACAAAAAAATAAAAAATAAATATGGTTATTTATGCATTGTTCTAGCTTGCTAAACATTAAATTTGACTGTGTGAGAGCTGACTTTAAGATTCTGGAAAATAAAACTGCATAATCTAATAGTAAGAGTTTTTTTTATAAAAACTAGGGCTAACTTTGACAATAATAAATTAGCAGTTGCTCTCTTTCACTCATACACTTCACTTTACAAAGTCAAACTTGGAATATTAAATTTTAAAATACAAAGATCTTTTACATTAAAAAGTATTTTGGCTTGTCCTATTAAGTGAGGAATAATAACACCTACCTCTTTCCATTTCAATGGAGTATTATGAAAATATAGAGAATGCTATTTATGAAAAAATTTGACATCATTTATAAAAAAGGAACCTGTCATAACCTGAGTCCTTTATGTCAAGTATTTCCAAGTGTTTATCCCACAGTTGTCAACCTCCAGACATTGCAGTCCATTGCTCATTTATCAATGAGCATCTGTTCCACCATCTGATATAATGATAGTAAATAATAACAGCATCATATTATTACAAGGGACCCCAGCTGCAAAGATTTGGGGTTTTTTTGCTTGTTTTATTTTGTTTTATTTTGTTTCTACTACATTACCTTGCTTTGCTTAAGAAAAAAAAAAAATTGAGAGTTAGATCCAATCACAATTACGTGGACCTGGTCTGTGTCAAGCTGCTCTTTCTATAAAATTTATTAAAAATTAAAATAGGATCGCTTATTGAATAAAGATAATTCAGTTTATGTACCAATTAACAGTTTCCTTTATAACTAATTTTAAAAGGAAGCAAAGGTAATGGAATGTGAGCAATAAAATATTGAAGAATATAAAGATTTAAATTCTTGAATGTGTTTTAAACAAAAAAAAAATTATTTTTATTGTCACTCGAAACCCTAATGATTCAGCTGAAACTTACTGGGTTTCATTAACCAATGTCACCATTAAAAAATTAATTCATTCATTCATTTAAAAAATCTAATGATAGATTTAAATATAATCTAAATATAAAAAATGAGAACATAACTAAAAATTGTTTTCACAGTTTTACTATTTTTAAAATTTTTTGTCAGGATTATAATATTGTAATTTAAGAAAAGAAAATGTCTTTAACAATACAGAATCAACAAGTCTATTTCAAATGATACTATGAATATGAGCATGACATTATGAAACAAAATATTTCCTGAAAGCTGCTACTAAAGTAAATAAAGTTTATAATTATTCATTTGTTATAGTTTTAAAATAAAGAGAAAAAGCTTTAAGTAAGAACAAAATTTACCTTTACTTCAGGTCACTTCAGTGGAATTTAATAAGGAAACTTCCTCCTAACGGCTTCAAGAAGTACCGTGATCTTCGGAAACTGTAAGAAAAAATTTAATTTCCGGTATTAAAATTAGCTAATACTCTCTGGCATATCTGTTTCTTCCCCTTCTGTGGAGACCAACACTGTACCACTGTTTTAATCTAGTCTCTCTTTGGAAAATTATTTCGCTGTTAGCTGGAGACTACCAGGTGAATTTTTTTTTGAGTAGTTCTAAAACCATTCTACAAAAATCTCAGATACCTATCCCCAAAGAAACTAGAGAATGTGCACTGTAAATCCTCCTGCCATACTCTGCCAAAATGAGGATCCTCAGGAGGTTTTACTCTCTGCGTTATTCTACAGTAGGCCACCTTAACACCCACCTTAGAGAAAGATGCTAAGACTTTTTACCAGGTCTGCAGTCATAATGAGATAGTAAGAGTCTTCTTCCATATGTTTGCAAACTCAGTCTCCACCTAAGATAGCAAATCCTTGTGGTTTAAAACTGCTGAGCATGTTGTTTGGGTGGCTTAATTCCATTGTCACATTTGCCTTGCAGGTTGTTTTATTTTGGTCTCAAGTAGCACCTGACACACTAGCTTCTCTTCAGTTTAGGGTGGTGTGTGTGAGCTCAAAACTCATAATGGTCCAGGTGATGTTAACCTATTATTTAGGTCAACATGTAACTAAATAATATTGTCTATTGGGTTTAAATATTTTGTGCCTGAATCACACTATCTAGAAACCGTCTCAGAATTCCTAGTTTCATTTTCATAACTGTATTGGTTTTAGTTTAGGTTTTACACTAGAGAAACCTGGTACATAGATATATACGTGTATATTTCTCTTTAAAATAACAAATAGAAATAAAGCAGAATCAGAATAAAAACTTAATCCACTTCATTGAAATATTCTCAAAACCCAGATAATCTGCAAAAATATATGTATTTCATATTCAAAAATAAAAATTCCAATAAAAATGACTTAGAACTTTATCCTGGACATTTATCACTTAACAGAAAAGAGCTTTCCAAAATCAGGAGTGATACAAAAGCTTCGAGATGATACTTTCAAATGTTATCTTCTGATTTCTGGAATGTGAAGAATTTTTCTGATCTGTAGCACCACCTTATGTTCACATTTTTAAAAAGAGTTAGTACTTCAAATATCAAAGTTCAGGTTTATATAACACAGTAGTTCAGCATTTTTGAACAATGAACATTAATTCGTGAACAGCCAATTTGTTTCAAGTAATAAAAGATCAAAATAGCCTAATTATAAAAAGAAAAAATTCTAATTGGTTTTAGAGGTGTAGCTTGGCTCAGCCTCCAGGAAATACAGTCTATTGCTTGCTCATTATAGCAGTTAAAAACAAATAAATATGTGTTAAAGTCTTTCTATGTATTAATGAGAAAGATACATTACCTACTACATGATTGGGCCACAGCATAATCTGTGAAATTATTAAATACATAATAAATTTAATAATAACATTTTACAATCTTGCATGTTGGAAAAATAGGAAATCTCTTTTAGTCAAAATATCTAATTAACTGAGAGTTTGTTCATATTGGTATCTACCTTATTGCTCCTAAAAGTTTTAAAAAGTCATATGTAAACTCAGAACACCCCAAAGAACAATAGTAACCAGTATTCAAAGCAAGAAATCAGGCTTGGAGCCCTTACTTGGTCATTCCCCACCACCTGGGGCCAGTGTAAATAGAAGTGCAAAGTTTCATTGGGTAAATATGATGCAATTGCTTGTGCTCCATTCCCTTTGATCTGCAGTTGACTCAGGGCCAAACTTCCAGGATGACTTTAATTAACTATGCAAGCCTGCATTTCTGCGTTGACATTCCTATTGAATTTATATTTTCCTACACTTGATTCTTTTTATTTTTGTTTTTCTCTCTGTCATGTATACTCCTTATAAGTTTCCTCGAATACTTTTTAGGGCAAGACTTGGGCAGTCGAATTGATAAAATTAAAGTTGATTTGCTTGGCAAATTTGTGATTAACATGGAATGTATTTGGGGCCCTGAAAGATGTCACGTACTTATACTTTTGCCGTCAACATGTTTGAAGAATTATAACAGGAAATGCTAAAAAAAAAAAAAAAATCTGACTTCTAGGCCTGTTTTATTAGTGAGTGCCTTACTGTGAATTTAAGTTTCATTCATAGAAAATTCAAATATTAAATTTTAACGAGTACTTGTTCACATTTATAACTAATACTTCTGAATAAAAACTGGCCTAATCATACATGAATTTAATAGCAAAACAAAGTTATATGATATCCAGCTTCACTAAATTATTTCATTATGTTTATCTTTTTTAATTAAAAAATTTAATTGTGATAAAATACATATGACATAAACATTCTATCTTATTCAATCTTAAGTGTACATTCAGAGGCATTGAGTGTATTCACACTGTGTTACCATCACCACCATCCAACCACAGAACTCTTTTCATCTTGCAAAACTGAAAATCCATTTCATTGCGTTTTCCTTTTAATAATCATTTCACAGATGCCTGCAAAACAATAAGATTAAATCCGTATCCATCTATGCTTTCCGAGGACTGTACAATCTTACTAAACTGTAAGTACCAGTGCCGATTAATTTGACAATTCCACAGTGGTCTGTCAGCCTGACCCATTCGACTCCATACCAACCCTCCTGCCCGCAAAGAGCTGAAGGGCCTCATAATATGGTAGCTACGAGGATTCTGAGTGAGATAGGCTTTAGAGTCCTGACTTCATCATTCACTTAGGTGTGTGAACTTGAACAATTTATTTTCCTTCCTAAGCATTGATTTCCTCTACTATGAAATACAGATTATAACAGTAGCTACCTCAGAGTTGTAAGAAACAAATGAGAAAATTCGTGGGAAGAATTAGGTACACCGTACCTGGCACATAATAAGAACACAATATACATTAGCCATGGTGACAGGAACGATAATTGAATGAACTTAATCAAAATAAGAAAGCCTGGTGATAATTAAAGTCTATGAAGGAGAAAACCCAAAAACTGCCCCAGATATTATTTTTCTACTAATCCTGCTTTTATGAATATATAAATCACTATAAGTTTAAAAGAGTAAAAGCTTTTTTTTATTGTGATAAATATACATGGCATAAAATTTACCATTTTAACAATTTTCAGGTGTACAGTTCAGTGGCATTAAGTACATTCACATTGTTGTGCAAACATCACCATCATCCATCTCCAAAACTTTTCCAACTTCCTCGACTAAAACTTGGTACCCATTAAGCAGTAACTCACTATTCCTTCTTCCTCCCAGCCCCTGACAGCCACCATTCTGCTTTCTATCTCTATGAATCTGACTACTGTAGGTATCCCATAAAGGTAGAATCATATACTATTGGCCCTTTTGTGTCAGGTTTATTTTGCATAACACAATGTCTTCAAGGTTCATCCATGTTACAGCATGTTTCAGAATTTCCTTTCTTTTTAAGGCGAAATAATATTTTATTATATGTATATACCACATTTTATTTATCCACTCATCCATCAATAGATATTTTGGTTATTTCCACCTTTTGGCTATTATGAATCGTACTGCTGTAAACATAGGTACACAAATATTCATTTGAGTCCTTGCTTTCAGTTCTTTTGAATATATACCCTGAAGTGCGATTGCTGGGTCATAAGGTGATTCTATGTCTTTTTGAGGAACTTCCATACTATTGTTCACAGCATTTGTACCATTTGACATCCCCACCAGTGACGTACAAGGGTTTCAGTTCCTCCATATCTTCATCAACTTGTTATTTTTCTGGGGGTTTTGTTGTTGTTGTTGTTGTTGTTGTTTAATAACAGCCATCTTACTGGTATCTTATGGTTAAGAGCAAAGCTTCTTAAAATAGGCTTTCTCAAAGTTCCATTTCATTGAGTTTTACCAAGCAGCTGAAACTAACACCTGGAAGAAGTTATTGAATGGAAACATAAGCAAACATCATATGAATAAACAACTCCTTGTATTTCCATTTCTGCCCCCCTTGCTTTATATTCTAACCCAGGAAACTCACTGTAGTCAGATTCCTAGCTTGCAGCATCAGTTTTGGGGATTGAGTCAAGGCCATCTAATCAATCAGCAAAGTGATAGAAGGCCACCAGAGACTGAGAGCCTTAACAGTAAGCTTGTTGGCCACATTCTCTTCCCTTTTATCCCATCCTTGCTCTTTTGTGCCATAGCAAATTATCAGAAGTCAATATCGAACTCACTCATCAGGCTTCTATCGTTCTCTCCAACTCACTCCCTCCCCTATGACTGTTCAAAACTTAATAAATAGCTTCTGCTTGGTTTAGTGGTCAATGGAAGTAAACGGTAGTACAGACCTGGAGAGTAAATTTAAAAGCATCCCTCATCTCTTCCCATTTTTTTTTTTTCCAAAAAACTGGAATATTATTTGGGTACTAAAGATGTCATAGACTTCCTGTTTTTCATAGGTAATCATTAGATACCTGCTTTTTTCTCATCCATAAATTTTCATTAGCCCTATAGTCTGCAAGTTCTTCAGCACAGAAAGGTAAGTCAAACATGCCGTTTTCCAACGGCTTACACCTCAGTATTTCAGGTAGACCCCGGTGTTGCCACCGGGGAGAGGCGTGCCTCTCACTCTCCGGAAGCTTATCGTCTAGGGTAGGGAAAATACCAACATACACCCAATCGAGAATGATAAAAGAGGTTACTTAACTAAGTCCTATACCTGTGTCATTCAGGCCAAAACTGCTATTATGATTCAGTGAAAGGAGTCATCATGTCAAGTCCACAGCAGTGAGGAATGGCTCTGAGGAGGACTGGGCTAAGCAGATGAGCGGAGGGTGCAGGGGTGAATCAAATGTCTTTACCCGGGGAATTTCCATTGGCTTTTAAGGGAGCCCCCTGAGGTTTTTATTCATGGGGAAGAACTGAAGCTATTCTTTATCTCTTCCTTTGCCCAACTGGGCTCCAGGTTTACAAGGGAGGGAAGGAAGTGGTTGTGTTACAGGGCATCATCCCTCATTACCCTTAAGCAAAAGTCAACTTGGTGAGGGACAGGGAGTTTCCTGGCAGGAGAAATTTTACAGGCTGTCAACTCTAAGATCTGATAGAGTGAAGAAAAGAGAGAAACCAATGTAGTCCATGTATCAGTGGAAGTGGAATTTGAACAAATACTTATATACAAATCATAGAGAGGAAAAAGAAGAGGAAAGAGATTGGAGTGGGAGGCATGGACAGAAACGGTTATAAAACATAATATGTAATGAATGCTTATGACATGCATTGCTTCAAATTTTACAACCACCCAAAGAAGTAGGTACTAATATTGACTCCATTTTAGAGATGGGGAAACCGAGACTTTCAGAAGTTAATTGCTTGCTTAAGTTCAGGCTATAAATAACAAAGCAACCAAGCTAGGAATAAAGCTGTCTGCGGCAGATTCAGAGCAGATTCAGTGAATTGCTGAGATTGCGATAGAAATAAACATGGCGAGAGGAGAGCAACATATTAGAGGAGAGAGTTGGTTCCTTCTGCAGAAGAGTGAGAAGTGAAGTTGGGTGGGTAACGTGGAGTCAAACTCTAGCGAAGGTACGCAGTGTCCTTTTTTTCCAGAACAGGCCCTGCCTGCCTCCCAGGTTCATCTCTTGCCTCTCCTCACAGCCCCTTCCTGGTGGGGCGACATTGAATAACCTGGCAATCCCTCAACTTGTTACTCTCTTTATACCTCTTGTTTTTGCATAAGCAATTTCTCTACCTAGAATAACTCCTACCCATTCTTTGCTTTGTGAATGACATACATTCATCCAATATTCTTTTCATTTATGCCTCCTTTAATAAAGACTTTCTGTTTTCTCATTACTCCATGCTCTGCAGTCCCCGCCCCAGTAAAGGCGGGTGCTTTCTCCTCTGCGATGTCAGAGCAACCATACATTACATACCTCTTGTTTCCCTATGTTGCTGTAATAACCTGTCCACATGCTGTCTTCCCTCTAGACTCAAAGTCCCCCAACCAAAAGGATGATCTACCTAGCATAGTGCTCAAAACAATTTGATAATTAAATGAATAGGTGGATGAATAAGTGATTGATTGGTTTATTGATTGATTATGGGGAAATCAAAAACAAAACATAAAAATGCAAATGATAAAGAATTTTTAGAGATCCAAAGACAGGGAAAGGGCATGATGAGAACAGTATACAAGAAAATTTAAAGTGGATGATTATTGTCTTTCCTCTTTTATTGTAAGACATCAAGAAAACACAAATTTATTGTGGTCATTTCTCCTTTTTCAGGTATCTCAGTCGTAACAGAATAACCTTCTTGAAGCCAGGTGTTTTTGAAGATCTCCACAATCTAGAATGGCTGTATGTTTGATATATGTGGCATTTTATAGTATTAGTTTTGATGGTCTAAAAATATATACATGAATCAATTTTTAATTCTGCCTGGCAGGATAATTGAAGATAACCACCTCAGTCGAATTTCCCCATTGACATTTTATGGACTAAATTCTCTTATTCTCTTGTAAGTACTAAAATTAAAGCAAATACCTTAATTGAAAGAAAAGACATGAATAAAAATTACTGCTTCAAGTTTAATAATATTAAGTTTCAAATTGTTAAAATCCTAAAAAGGCTTTTCAACTGAAAACCATTTCTTAATTACATTTTATGAGGCTATTTTGTAGTTCTAACAATTTTCATAAGATCTTGTCTTCTACAATGCCAGCCCATCAAAACTGAATATGGCCTCACTGTCGTATTTTATTGAAATATCCTTAAGTACACCATTACTACCCTATATCAATCTTGGTAAAGAAAAATATTATTTATTTAAAAATCACCTTCTTTTTACCCTACTATTGAAGTGAACAGGCTTTTTTTCAGTTACTAATATTACTGCTTCCTCCCAATGACAACTATTATTTGTCAAATTTTGTCATTAATGAGCACTTAATATAAAACACTTATAGAAAGAAATTAGAGAAGACAACTAACTTAATAGATTGTCATGTTTTCATAAGAATAATGATAATACCATGTTTGACTTAAGTTAAAAAAAGAACTATAAAAATGCGACTTCTTAAATTTCTTCTCTTTCTCAGAACACTGATGAATAATGTCCTTACTCGTGTGCCTGATAAACCTCTTTGTCAGCATATGCCAGGACTGCATTGGTTGTAAGTTGCTCTATCTTTTCTTAAAGAAGTCAACTAACTTTTCTAGTTCTGCCGAGTTCATTTGGATATTAGGTTTTTGTAAATGATAATTGTTATTATCATATTTCATTTCCTCAAATTACTTAAGCATTTTTATTATTAAATATCCTCATTACCTAAACTAACTCCTCTAAGCTCTCACCAAAATAAAACATCTCAAAAATAAATAAATAAATAACTTCAAGGCAAGAAGGAAGACAGAAGGGGTGTCACCGTATCTATATAACATCCCCCCTTCTCTGCGTTGACTTAGTCATCTATTAATTTGGTACAGAAAGACGAAGTTCACAAATTCTGCATAATGAGAATATATTTAAAATTTATTTTTGAAGTCTAATCACAGTAGAATATGTTTCATGGAATTTGTTACACAGTAGCTTTTTTGTGGTAATAAGTATCATTCTACCTATTCAGAACTCAGTTACCTAGTAAATTTCCCTATTTTAAAATATAAGTAAAAAAGAAGAAATAAATAACCAAAATAACCATTAAAAAGTTTACTCAATAAACAGCATATATAGTGTATGAAAACTTCCTCTGTTTCTCATTTCGTAGGAAATTCTCAAAAGTTGTGTTTAATTTCTAAGCTCACAGTAAATTAAAATTGCCATATTAAAAGTGGAAGGTGGGAGGTAGAGTAAGAAACATTGATTTCAGTAAGCGGTGACAACTATCAACCTGAATAAAGCAGGAGTGAGAAATATTATAAAAAGCAGACATAGTATTTCAAAACATACTAGTTTGGAACAATTTAGGGAAAACAGACATCTCAAAAATCATTACTTAGTACACAGGGCACCTTGGTGTAACAGTACAGTGTCCTCATTTGTGACAAGGTAAAGTCATTAAGGAAAGGGCAAATTAAGTTTAATATCTTTTGTTATAATTAAATTTTAGTTCAAATGAATGCATTAACAGTAATTACATGGTCAGTAATCCAAACTTAGTAATAAAGCCAAACTGATTAATATTTATATAAGTTAGCAAATAAAAATTCACCTATTGAGACCAGAAGCAAATGATACTAGGCATGTATAAGAATAAATTTTTTCTATGCCTTAAAAAATGCAACCATATAGACATTTCCTACAATAAAAATTAAAATGATTAAGATTTTTTACTAAAGAAGTAGACTTTTAAAAATTTTATTACTAAAATTACCGTCTTTAAATTTTATCTATCCAAAACAACTCATTCTATATGCATTCCTGATAGGGACAATTATCTCCATTTTAATGCTAGTATTAATAATTTTTTGCTTTATTAATTTTTTAAAACAATTGCAATATCTTTACCTTGTACATAGACTTTTATTTATCAAAATATAAACTAGAAAATCTGATAGATGTGTTAGCAAAAAAAAAAAGAAATTAACTCTGATTTAGTGGAAAAATGCATATAAAATGAAAAGACATTTGACAGTCCAGGGTAATATGCTTGTAAGATATATGACAGATGACATATTGAAACCTTTAATATAGTTTTTTCAAAGCAATAAAAAAAAACCGTAAACACAAGAATAAAGGTAGAGAAATTTCAAAAAGAAGAAGCGTAACTAATAAATAAGCATATAAACAAGGCAATAGCCAAAGGTTAACTAAAGATCAAGAGAGTAAAGCAAACTTTTCTTTTAGATGAGACTAAGAAAGTTTATATATAGGCAAAAGAAACTAATATAAAGAATTTGAAAATATAGAAAACAATGAGGATACATTATAGAGCAAGGTACTAGAAGACATGGAAAAGGATGGGAAAATGAAACATAATACACAGAGCAAAGAAAATGAATGAACTAGCCCTATTTCAATCATGGCTCAATTTTAAGAACATACTATGAATTATAAAGAAAAGGTCATGGAAGATATATGTTTCTTCTATAGATGTAAAACATATGTATTTAACAATTACATATATAACAATTATATATACATATATAACAAATATATATGTGTTATATATATATATGTATATGTATATATACATATATGTATCTGACATGGTACATATATAACAATTCCATTCCAACAATACTGTTCTTAGGCTAAGAAAGCTATGAGATAATATTGCTCTCTCTCTACCAGTAAAAAAGAACTTTATAATCTACAAAATTATAATTTTCTCAAGTCCATCAGAATTCCAAGGTGTGACCAGAAGAAATGGAATATATACATTATCTCATCTTTGGCAGAACACAGGACACAGAACATAGAAATGGAAAATATATATTATCTGACATTTGGCTGTCAAAGTGGATATGAAGAAAACTGCTTAAATTGTAGTAAACTTGTAAAGGTTAAGTGTGGGCTAGTGTAACGTTTTAGAATAACTGAGAAACCAACACTAAGGGAGTCAACAATTTCCAACAGGCTGTTTTCCACTGGCCTCTGCCAGCTACAAGACAAACTGGGGACAGGTAAGGAAACCAGAGAGAGTCCTCCTTAGTGGCACACAGGCACAAAATCCCATCTTCTTCTCTAGACTTCCCTTTTACAAAGCAAAAGCTTTAAGCCACTGGGAGAGGGGCAGAAAATCCTCCCACAGCCAGGGACCAGGCATAGGTCCGCTTCCAAAGATATAGAAGCAAAAGCAGTCTGCTCCAGGGAAAGGGGCAGAAAAACCTTTCCAACCCAGGACCTGCACTACGACAGAGCAGTGAGCAGTGCTCCCTTGGGTTGAGGCTTTTGGAGTAGAGGAAACAGTAATGCTGAGAAAGCCGCATCTCTAAAAGAACAAGAAAAAAAATCCATTGTCAAATTGTAAAGCAATCAGTAGAACCAGACCCAGAAATAACTGGAAATTTAAATACTTATGATTAATAATTAAATGATATAGTGGAAAAGATGGACAATATACATGAACACATGGGATGTGTCAGAAAAGAGATGAAAACTATTAAAGAAAGTCAAAGAATGACTTCAATAGGCTTAGCAGCAGCTGAACTCAACTGAGGAAAATATCAATGACCTTGAAGATGAGTCAATAAAAAGCTTTCAGTTTGAATCAAGAAGAGGAAAGAGAGTAAAATAAAGACAGAACAGAAAATACAAAAGTTGCACAGTCATATAAAATTGTCTAACAAGTGTGTAAATAAAGTCACAGAAAAAGATGAAGAGGAGAAACACTACAGAGGAATATCTGAAGAGATCATGGTCAAGAAGTTTCCAAAATTAATATAATACAAGAAACTAGAAATGTAAGAACTTCAGAAAAACCCAAGCAGAAGTGGAAAAAATATTAGCCAAATAATAGTCAAACCGCTGAAAACCAAAGATAAAAAAACTTAAGGTAACCAGAGAAAACAGAGATATTATATACTGTAAAAATAAGAACTGCAACACTAATTTTTTTTAAAAGAAAGCTGGAGGAACTAAGTTAGTATTGGAAAAAATAGACTTCAGAAGGACTAAGGATTATCATCAGGGATAAAGAGGGACATCACATAATGGTAAAAGGGTCAATTCATCAAGGAGACGTAATAATCTTAAGTGAGTAAGCAGTTTCAGAATGAATAAAGTGACAACCATAGAACTATAAAGAAAAATACCAACAAGTCAACAGATGCCATTTAAAACCAACAAATCCACCAATATGTGGATATTTAACATTCCTAAAGTGAACTTTAATAAAAAGCATATAATTGATCAAAATCATATGGTAAGAGAGGAGTAGAAGAGCAGAAAGACAATGTATACTAATTTCATCATTTCTTATAATAAGTTATAAGTATTCTCTGAGAAAGAAGATACAGTGTATTAGGTAAAGTTTTAATTATTAAGGTAACCAATAGAGTACATAAATCTTTTTAAATATTAAAAGAAATCATATTTTTAAACATATCATTTGTTGAATGTTTTTTGACCTATAAAATCATATAAAAATATTTTCAAATTAGCAGACTATAATCAGATATATTAGACATGTCAATAAACATAAGTGGGCTAATGTTACCTATTAAAAATATTTTCAGATTGGCTTACAAAGCAAAACATAACTCAGTACTATTTACAAACAATACAACCATAACTAAGTGATTAAGAAATATTAAAAATAAAAGACTAGTCAAAAGTATGCATGTCAATGCAAACAAAAAGAAGCAGCTATCACATTTTTATCCATGTAGAATTCTGGTCAATTTGCATTAAACAATGCTAAGAAGGACATTTAAATACAATAGTATGAAATTTCCAATAAAAGATATTACACTATGAGTATATATGCACCAAATAGATTCATATAACAACCAAAACAAAAAAAAAATAGAGCTAAGAATCCAACTCTCTCAGTCCATGAAAGATCAAATAAAACCATAAAAGGTTATGGAGAAGTAAATAACGTCATTAATGAGTTTAATTGATGTATATCAAACTGCATTGTCCCTTTTCAATAGCAGAACTGGTTCATTTGGGACAACAATGTGCAGCTAAAACTCTGTATTCCCAGACTTCCCCTAATCTAGATGTAGCCGTGTGACTAAACACTAACCAATGAGGTGGAAGAAGTGTAGTATGGAACTTCTGGGGAATCACCTTCAAAAGAAAAAGGCAGACCCTTCCTTTTCGTCCTTATCCAGAAAAAAACGGATATGATGGCTGAGCTTTAGTATCATCTTGGACGATGAAGACATGCACATCTGAATGGTGAATGTGAAAGACCTTGGGTGCCTAACAACTTTGTAAAACTACCATACTAGCCCTGGACTGCCTAATTCTAGATTCTTTTTCTTGAAAAAAAAAAAAAGTATGTGTAGTTATGCTGTTATAGTTGAGTTGGGTCTCTCTTATATGTATCTGCACCTAATCCTAATAGATATAAACCAGCAAACAAAAAATGCCCAAAGAACGTTCAATATTCACCACATATTTTAGGACATACATATATGCAAACCAAACCCAAGAAAATGGAGGTTTTAGCCTAGAGCAAGAGAAGGGTCATCTCTTCCTCTGAGACCAGAAAGGAGACCAGGCATATTTACAGGTAAGTTTACAATTGTGGTATAGAAAGTCAAGGTCTTTTCCTGCCTTGATTACCTCAGTTTTCTCTGTGAAATAGGAGCCAGAAATGTATAAAATGTAAGGGGGGAAGTGGAGGTTAAGGAGATTTGTATATTTAGAATGTCACTAGGTGATAAGAGAGGAAGTTGAAAAGGAACAGGTAAGATTATTGGTGTTTTTTGGTTTTCATTACTGTTGTTCTCGAGATAGAAGAACCATATTTTTCATTTACAGCCAGTTCTGCCATCTAGAAAGGGAAAAATAAAATGGTTAGCTTCAGAGGCTTATCACATTGCAAAAGCAGTCTAGACAAAAGGTAAGAGAAACAGTGTCCTTAAAATTTGGAGCTAGGAAACAGGAAGCAGATTTGTATGCCTCAGCTAATAAATGTGCTGCAAACCAGATCTCTAGTATAAGGATTAAAACCTCGAATTTTAGGAAGAAAGCCAAAACAAATTTACAATTCGAGGTTAAAATAAACTGAAAATGAAATAAAACTAACAATTCAATCAAAAGTCCCTAATTTACGCCTCAATGTGTGCCTCCTACTTATTTAATACTAAATACTAAATTAATACTAATTTAAATGTTTTTGCTAGCTTAACAGAAAAAAAGTTTCATAAGTAGCTAACAAGAACATCAACTCCCCTAAGGATATTTTATGAGGCTTAAGAAAGCATCACCACCTGGTGGTAGATTTGTGGTAACAGCGATAAAATAGGAAAAGGAAATAGTCTTTCATTGACAACCAACATTATGAGAGACCAAAAGCCTTGACCAAACCTAATGACCAAAAAAAAAAAAAAAGTAATATTATAAGTGCTTAGTTTCCAATTTTATAGAATAATAGAAACTTTTGTTTGTTTTAAGTGTGATCTAGAATCAAGACAAGATTTTAATACAGTATTCCATGTAGTACAGAAATTGTGTCAACAGAATTTTTGAGTTATGGTATATTGCCTCTGTTAAATACCTGTAGGGGTAAGCACCTTGTTCTCTGGTCACCATAAACTGTGGGCTTACATTTTAAATGTTTTGTGTCCTTCAACCAGTAAATCTAATTTTGCAATCAGATACAACATAGAAAAACCCTACAATATCTCCTATAGCCTGACTTCAAACGTATCTCTCTTATTTTGCTCTTTTGTTATAAATATACCCTTTTCTTTGATTAACTTGATTTTTAGACCCCTTACATCCAAGTCTTCCAGATATACTTTGATTTGTCAACATCTATTTTTTATTGGAATGTCTAAAATAAAACTGACTATCCCAGATGTAGCCTAGCTATCAGAATATGGACACTTCTATTAACACCACCCGTATTTCCCTTACAGATTGTAGGAGCTGTGTCATACTTCAGCTCATGTATTTGAGTTGCTATTATTCTTATAGCTCTGTGTTATATGGTGAACCACTAAACTAAGCATTGGGGTAGACTGAGTAGATTTAAGGACCAGCATTTACTTTTGAAAGTATGTCCCTGAACTCAGCTAACTCTGTTCCATAACCTTTCACCATAAATCCAATGATAAGATATAATATAAAAGAGGGGCAAAGAATACCTTCATGATAACCATGACAAAGAGACTGATAAAACAAAGTCTTTGACAAACTTTGCTGCTCAGACTAGGCTCCTGATGGTGACAGAGTGTCACATAGCAGGGGTCTGTATGTAGCTCCCTGAATAGAGTGGACAGCCATGGACAGCGTGTGGGTCTCCCTCTCCACCAGCTAGTGCGGCAATATAATAAAGTAAGGATATTCTCAGTAGTAAAGGCTATTGAGAATTTTTTCTAGGGATTGTTTAGGCAAGGGAAGTAGAGGCTAAATATCGTTTTGGCAGTAGCTTCTGCAGCAGTGGTAGGATCTTCTGCAAGCTGCAGCAAAATAAGGTCACGCTACTTAGAGAAATGTCATTGGTAACTCTGGATAGATGTTTAATACAGTCTATATTAAATCTCTGTTAATAAAGTCAGTATTTACCATAACAAAGATTATCAATTTGACTTTTTATTTTCTTTACATTTCTCAAGATAACATATGTGCCCATATGAACACATGATATAGATGTGACTCAAACCATTTTTACTATTAACACAAAAAAAGAAACATTAAATATGTATAAATATTATTTCAGCTATTATGTAAATGGCTACATGCAAGAATCTATATAAAATAAAGAGTATGTGAAAAAATATTTTATTAGAAAACAATTCTCAACCAATTTATTTCTTTTTATAAATATAATTATTTAATTATAATTGAAAGTGAGTTTTATCATTTTATTTTTATGTTTCAGGGACTTTGAAGGCAACCGTATCCATAATTTAAGAAATATGACTTTTATTTCCTGCAGCAATTTAACTGTTTTGTAAGTAATGTTTTACCCTTTTCAAATGTTATATCTCTTTATAAACAAAATGAATCATTTATGTCAATAGATGGTAGCATAAACATACATAGTAATTATGGCAAATGTTCACTCTTGAAGTTGTTTGAAACTGAAGCATGTGGGCAAAATTATTAAAGTTAACACAAAGAGTAGTTACAGATTCACAGCATACATGAATGACACTATTATCTGAGACATGTTTTTCTCAGTTAATAATACACATTTTAATGGAAAGAAATTCTCGTAGACCACCTAGAATCTTTCTTTGAATCCCAGTTTGAGAAACACTATGTTAACGTTTTAATCTATAAGAATGTTCGTCCTTTGCAAATCATTACTGTAAAGATCGTACGGGAGTGGGGGAATGAATTAATTATAATCAAAAATTTTTTTAAATAATGCAGAATGTTTACACCCCTTAGTATGTAATTGTGGACACCAGGATAAACCTTAGAATGTTACTGAGTATACTTTCTCCTTTTGCCTCTTTGGCCTATTTTAAATTCACGTTGCCTCTTCCATGAAAATGGATGCCAAGGCTTCCATCAGTATACAAATATAGCTGCCTCATTCATGGTTTGTTTTTCCAGAACAGGGTTATTCATACTGTGGGTTGCAACTCACAAGTGAGCGATGAAAGCAATTTAGTATGTTTTGACCAACATTTTAAAATGAAATAGAATAGAATTGAATTGAATTAAAATATCAGAATGCAATTCAGATAGTTAAATGTGTTGTTTCATTGACCTTGGATTGTGTGGTTGTATTATATGTGCCAATGTAAAGTGCATTTTTTTTTTACTATAGGTTACCATGGGAAAGTTTGAAAACCACCATACCTGTTTATTGGCAATGCAATAGCTACCACTAAAACAATAATTTTCCTCCATTTATGCCTCCCATTATAAAAAGATTCAAAGTCACTGAAATATCTGAACACTTCTGTAGTAAGTTTAACAGTCTTCAGACACAGGATGCTCTATATTGGTCATGCAAAATAGTTCATATTAATTGCCCAAAGAAAACCAAGCTGCACCTGAAGAATATACACCAAATAGATATCTGAAAAACTTAGAACATTTTCGTTCTACTCATGTTCGTTTTTAAAGAAATCTCTGAGTGAAGAAACCATTTATGAGTGTCCTATTGGCAAGTTCTTGTCCTTTTCTGGTCCAAGGATAATAGGAGAAGATAGTTACGATTTGGAGTGTTGGAAAAAAATAAATACTTAAGGATGGGACAAAGCCAATTTCCAATCATGTCACACAATGTTTAAAGAATTGGAAATCCTTTTTCTATGAGTTAGCCATTTATGATAGCTCATACATGTGAGATCGTGCAGAAATGAACTGTCAAAAGTTACAATTAGAATCAACATCCCAAACTAGAGGTATAAACTGGTCCAATTTAAATTAGACTTCCTAGGCAAATCTACCCTACATTATATCAACTACCAAATGTATATGGGTGATACCACGTTGCGGGTATTTTGTTAGGTAGACGTGGTACGCTAACTGAAGGAGCTCTAAAATAGCTCCCTGTGCTCTGTTGTACGATGTTTAGTCTGTGTTCTCAAGAGTTGAGATTTTCACTATTTCTCTTACAAAGCTCTTCTCTGTTTCACTTTAAAATTTGGATAGTATTTTATTTTTGTCATCATTAAAAGATTTGGGAAATTTAAGGTTAAAATTAGATTGGGTAATTTATCCTACTACTTTAAAATATCTTGATGTGAAAAATATACTATATGTAATTACCTTTGTTTTTGAAGGATTTAATCTCTGTAATAACTCATTTATCAGTTACCTCAAGAAGCTACAATATATTTTACTTTTTACTTTCAGGGTACTGAGGAAAAACAAAATTAATCACTTAAAGGAAAATACTTTTGCACCTCTCCAGAAACTAGATGAACTGTAAGTTTGATTAAACATATATTGATAAAAATTTTCTTTCTACAGTTTTAGTTCATACTTATTACCTGTATACGCTTTTATACATTGAGAAATATTTATTATCGTTTTTCCTGTCATAATTTTTATACACTTCGAGCCACAAAGAAATTCTGACAGCTTATTAAAATGTGCATTAAAGAAAAATATAAAATAAGTATTTGAAGAAGGTGAGGTAAAGGAAACGTAGATGCCAAGAAAGAATAAAGTTAGTGTAAATTTAATAAATGAAATACATTCTACACCACTCTGTTTCACTGCTAGAGGAACAGCAAATTTGTCTTTTAAGTTTCCTAAAGGATTAGGATCCAGAGACCATAAGATGAAAAGACTCTACTTTGCTGATTCTGAAACCAAAGGACAATATTGTATCTGTAAAGAAATTAGACACTGCCATGGGTAACATCCCAACCAATAATAATGGAAGAGAGAGAGAAATTAAATCAGCTATTTATAATGTCCCTTTTTAAAAATCAGTGACACAATTCTAAAGGGCATTTAAACACTCTCTGATAAACCAAAGCCTGTGATCCAAAAACATAGGAGCTGATTGTCAGATTAAAATATATGATAGATCAATGGATGAAGTGCATGTCCTTCAGACCATTCTGTTATTTTTTAGTGTAAGTTTGTCCGTTGAGTTTTTGCTAAAGTTTAGTCTTGCAACTAGTTTGATTTTGTGTTTTGACCATTAGCTGGGCAGAACATTGATTTATTAAAACTTTTCCATAAAAATTAAAGAACTTAACTAGAATGTTTCTCTGGACACCTTATCTGCGTACTGAGACAGGTGGAATGGTTACATGAGGACTGGAACATTCCTCAGGAAACAATCTGCATTCTGCTCCATAACATTAAGCCATTGAAACCCTAACATTTTTTCCATAACTATTACCCTGAAACATCTTCGGCTGGGCAATACCAGTTATTCACAAAATGTGCAAGAGAATCTTAATACGTAGATTTTAGAACCAAGCATTTGTTGTAACAACTCCTGGTATTTGGCAAGTGAGCCATATCTTCAGCACACAGGAAATTATTTTATTCTCAATAGTAGCTAGAGGTTCAGGTAGGTGATACAAAGTCAATATGTAGTCATTAATCAAAGGTTCCATACTTCTTGTTTTATCTTACTTGCAACCATTATCTGAATATAAGAAGGCGATTCCTCTAAATCCTAACCTTCATGGTAACAGTAAAGTGCAGGTTTTATGTAAGTATGAGTAACCTTCAGTGAACCTGGAACACAGACACCTTAGTCCCATAACCAGTGCCAATTCAGGTTCAAGGTAAAGGAGAGAACAGCATCAATCACTGCAGAGAGGGTAACTGCGGCCAATAATTAGTTCTGCCTAAAGCCTGCCTAATCCCATATTAAACACTGGCCTAAAAAATCAAATTTACAAGGATGAAAATGGCATGTTTTCTAAGAAGCAATGTTTTAAATGGATTGGCCTGGATCTAAAATAAGAAGACAACTCAGCTTTTGAGAGTGGGTTGGACTACACTCTATGCACCCCAAGGCTTATCACACCAATAGAATTAATGAGGACAAATAAATTGGCAACAATCAGGATTCACTTGTCACAGTAGACTTTAAGTCATTCTGGTGGCAGAAAATCTTTACCATGTGCTTGAATTAATTTGTGCTTTTAAAGTCAGCTACTCTAGGTGATAATGTGTTTCCTGAGCCCATTTGGACATGGATCTTGAGTCCAATTAAGTTAAGACCAACTTTCCTAAGTCGAAACTGGAAAAAAAAAAAAAAGATCCTTTTACATGCCACTTAGGATCTAGGCCAACAGTATCCCATTGTATGATTCATGCTGTAAGAACTATATGTCAGAATCTGCTCTGAAAGCCAAAATTAGCACTCTCACCAGAAACTGTGGGACATGATATATGGAGTTTTAATGTCCTAGAGGAGTACTCTAAAGCTGTTTTTCACAGAGTTTCACTAATATGACCAATATTTTACTTGGCTTCTCATATAAGGAACTGGAATTGTGCCACTGCTTTTACCTAAATATGAAGTAGACAGATTCAGTCTATTAATAGTCTTCTAATTGGAAATAGAAAGAATAGCCAGTCCAACTGTGTCGTATACTGGAAAATAATATGATATTGAATGACAACGATACTTTAATAAAAAGAAATTTTTTTTAAAAGAATAGCTAGATAAAACTATGCTAGATACTGGATAGTCCAAGAAGAATAGGTGTAGTTTTCATACTCAAAGAATTCACAGTCTTCAGAAGATGACCACATATGTACAGAAACAGTTTTAATATAATGTTATATAACACATATAATGTGTTATATGTGCTATGATAGAAGTATGCACAAGGAGTATTACGGGAGAACATGGAAGAGATCACCTAATCTCCCTGGTCACAGAGGTGTGACACTTCAATCTTGAAGGGTGACTAGGAGTTCACCAGGACAAGAAGGAAAGCTTATCACAGGCAGAAGGATGCACCCGTGGAAAAACACGGAGGTCAGGATACTGCGGTGCGTTTGGGCCACAGTGAGAGCCATCCTTAACGAATAGAAGTGGTAGAAAACTAAAGATAGTCAGTGGCAAGGTAATAGATATTTAAAGGCTTTTTATGTCACACAGTGCAGTTTTTATTTTATCTTTTATGCAACAGTGAGTTATTGAAGGATTTTAAGAAAGGGATGAAATTTTAGAAAGATCCCTTTGGTTATCAAATCAGAACAATCTGTCTTCGTAGATAATTCACCCATAAGTATGGAAACAATGAAAATAGTCTCAAGATTCAGTTTACAGTGTGAAAAATAAAACATTTACAGCAAAGACATTTATAATATTTATTAGATTTTATTAGCTTTTTATTTTCAGTTTTAAACTATCCTGCCCTTCAAAGTTGAATCATCTAACTTTTGACTTATAAGAACTCAATTTACATAACAAGAATATCTGTTCTCCTACCTTACCTTGTGGCAACTAAGAGGATTTGGAGATGCATGGGGAAAGCGGTTAGGCTTCCTCTTAGTACCTCTTGATCACACTAGCAAATTCAAGCCTATTGAAACATTATCTTGTTTAAAAGAATCTTAGGCCTTTCTCATGAGAAGTGGCACTGTCAAAGCTACCAGAAGAGCCGCTAAGGTCAAAAATCTTACAACTAAGCTACGAGGTCATGCCATGTTAACCACGCAACCTAACCTCTATACATATGTGAGGTAACACAAAATATCCTGACCCAGGAGTATATGTGATCCAGTGTATTTAAGTTATGAAAGAAATTTGCTCCTGAAATATTCTACTTCAATTCAAAAATTATAATAAACCCAAGCAAAAAAAAAAGTAAAGCTCTAAACCATGTTCCTACTCTAACATGGAAGGAAGGAAGGAAGGAAGGAAGGAAGGAAGGAAGGAAGGAAGGAAAAGGAGGCGTGCAGTCCATATATTAATTGAATTAGAAAATTGTACCTATTAGAAACAGATAAAATACCATCAGGTATTTGTCTCCGAGGGAGTGATGAAATGGGATAAAATATTTTTATCTTTTCCCATTTTATTCCCTTTTTTAAAACTTTTAGTCTTCTCGTAATTAATACAACTCATTAATAGCACCGTTAAAAAGTAGCGTAATGGTTTCCTAATAAATTGCAGAACAATAAAGTCTCATGAAAATAATATGACATGTTTGCAATTATCTCCTTAGGGATTTAGGAAGTAATAAAATTGAAAATCTTTCACCGCATATATTTAAGGATCTGAAGGAGCTCTCAAAATTGTAAGACTGATATTAATTTTCTCACTTCATTTCTTTTACATTTATTTTATATTTTAAATTATAATAAAATATACACAACATAAAATTTACCATTTTAACTATTTTTAAGTGTACAGTCCAGTGTCACTAAGTACATTTACATTGCTATGCGACTATCATCACCATCTGTCTCTAGAACTTTTTTTTTCTTCACAGACTAAAACTCCATACCTATTAAACAGTAATTCCCCATCATCCCACACACACCAACATCCACCACTCTGTGTTTTGTCTCTATAAATCTGATTACCCTAGGTACTCCATATAGGTGGAATCATACAACATCTGTCCTTTTGTGACTGGCTCATTTCACTTAGCATAACATCTTCAAGGTTCATCCATGTTATAGCATGTGTCAGAATTTTGGAATATTATTCTCCTAAATACTAATACTAATTCATTAATTATATTTATTTAATTTTAAAATTAATAAATTAACATTAGTGTTCAGAATAATAATTCATTGTGTGTATACACCACATTGTGTTTTCCTATTCATCTACTGATGGACAATTGGGTTGTTTCCACCATTTAGCTATTGTAAGTAATGCTGCTATGAACATGGAGTACAAATATCAACTCAAGACCTTGCTTTTAATTGTTTTTGGTATATAGCTTCAGAAGTAGAGTTGGTGGATCACATTGTAATTCTATTTTTAATTTTTCAAGGAAACATCATACTGTTTTCCATAGTGGCTACACCATTTTACATTCCTACTAGCAGTGAATAAAGGTTCCAATTTCTCTCCATCTTCAACAATACTTTTTATTTTCTATTTTGTTGATACTAGCTATTCTAATCGATATGAAATGGTATCTCATTGTGGTTTTAATTTGCATTTCCCTAACAATTAATGATTTTGAACATCTTTTCATGGGCTATTGGCCATTTGTATATCTTTGGAGAACATCTATTAAAGTTTTTTTTTCCATTTTTTAATTGTTTTTGTTGTTGTTGTTATTGAGTTGTAGGAGTTCTTTATTATTTTATATATTAAATCCTTTTCAGATACAATTTGCATGTATTTTCTACCAATTTGTAGGTTACCTTTTCACCCTGTTGATAGAATCCTTTGAGGCACAGAAGTTTTTAATTTAAATATAGTCCAATTTTTCTATCTTTTCTTTTGTTGCCTATGTGTTTGATGTCATATACAAGAAATCACTGCCTAATCCAATGTTCTGAAGCTTTTCCCCTATATTTTTTTCTACTAGTGTTATAGCTTTAACTTTTACATTAGGTCTTTGATCCATTTCAAATTTATTTTATAAATGGTGTAAGGTCAGGGTCCATGCTCAATTTTTTGCATGTAGATAACTATCTAGTTTTCCCAGCACCGTTTGTTGAAAAGACTGCCCTTTCTCCATTGAACAGTCTTGGTATCATTGTTGAAAAATTATTTATCATATATGTATAAGAGTTTATTTATTGGCTCTCTATCCTTCCATTGGTATATATATAGATATATCTGTCTTTATGCCAGTACGACATGGTTTGATTATTGTACCTTTGTAGAGAGTTTTGACATCAGGAAACATGAGACACCCAACTGTTTTTCTTTTTTCAAGATTGTCTTAGCTATTTAGGCTCCCTTGAGACTCCATATGAATTTTAGTATAGATTTTTCTATTTCTGCAGTGATATATTGGGATTTTGATAGAGATTGCACTGAATCTGTAGATTACTTTGGGTATTAATGACATCTTAACAATATTCAGTCTTTCAATTCATAAGCACAGGATGTCTTTCCATTTATCATTGTCCTCTTTAATTTCTTTCAGTAACATTTTGTTTTCAAAGTATAGGTCTTTCACCTTTATTCAGTTTATTCTTAAGTACTTTATCCTTTTGATGCTGTTACAAATGAAATTGTTTTCCTAATTGTATTTATTTATTTTTAAATTAAGTTTATTGGGGTGACATTGGTTAATAAAATTATATAGGTTTCAAATGTACAATTCAATAATATGTCATGTGTATATTTTACTGTATGTTTATTTTTAGATTGTTCATTGTTAATGTATAGAAATGTATTTGGTTTTTGTGCATTAGTTTTGTATTTGGAAACTTTGCTGAATTTACTAGTTCTAACAGTTTTCTTTGTATGTGTTTGTATATGAAATCTTTAAAGTTTTCTACACATAAGATCATGTCATCTGTGAAAAGAGATAATTTTACTTCTTACTTTCCAATTTAGATGCCTTTTATTTCTTCTTGCCTAATTGCTCTGGCTAGGACTTCTAGTACTATGTCGAACAGAAGTGGCAAAAGCAGACATCCTTATCTTGGTACTGATTTTAGAGAAAAAACTTTCATCTTTTCACTGCTATGATGTTGACTATAGGTTCTCATATATGGCCTTTATTGTGTTAAGATAGTTTCCTTCTGTTCCTAGATTGTTGAATCTACTTTGTTTCTTTTATACAACTCATTTTTCATTGTCGTTCTTCCTCTCTTTCCTTCTTTCTGTAATCACCACCACATAGCAGCATCCCACTCTTACATGTAACAAATGGTCTAATATAGAATAAATTTCTTAAAAAGAGAGCTTGCTCTGGGAAGCTTTCTTTAATCAATCATTCTGGTTTCAAGGTGTTGTTTAACAAAGATTCTGAAATTTTCTACATTTAAATTCGGCTGTACTGTCACTCTGAGGTACCTCTTTGTTCCTTGCGATAGCCTTTTACTTTTCATTTTATGTCTCACAAATTGCTAGTACAATGTAACACTCTTTGACATAAGATTTATGTGAAAAGTATTCCATGTGATTCTAGTAATTCAAAATTCGACCAAATAAGATTATTTTTCTTTTATTTGAAGCACATTTTATGCTAAACAAAATGTGAAGTTGGTGCAGATTTTCCCTGGGTGTGCTACCACTTCTCCGGTGGGAGTCATTTCTTGACAACTCCACCTTCACTCTCATGCAGCCTTAGCTTTCTCTCTGTTACTAACATGATCACAGAGTGCTTGCTAAGTGCCTGGCGCTGTTCTAGGTGTTTTATCTCCATTGATTCATTTAATGGCCAGTGAACCCTATGAAGGAAAGGCTATTATTGTCCTTTTTGTTGTTGTTGTTAATGTTTAAAAGTAACCCAAAGTCAACAGATACATTTTCTCTTTACTCAAGCACTTTCTAAAAATGACCTATTGCTGCCTTTTTTAAAACAGGAATCTTTCCTATAACCCAATCCAGAAAATTCAAGCAAATCAATTTGATTATCTTGTCAAACTCAAGTCTCTGTAAGTATATAGTTATGTAGATAGTTCTATAATGAAATTGTTATTTATATACTAATAGTTAATGAATCTATAAAATAAGATTTATAGAATCTTTCAAATCAGAAGCTTTATTTCCAGGATATTGGTTAATCTCCATAAAAACACATAAGATGAGTGCTCACTGACCTATAAATAATTGTATAACTATTAGTTTTATCTTATGTATTTATAAACTAAAAATTAGATAATGAAGAATTATTGTATATTTTGCTACAATCACCAGGAGCTTATATTGGGTTGTTTTCTTTGAGCTTCTGAAGGCATCTGTGCATATTAATTCCTCTATTAGTGCTGGGTTTCTAAAAATTTGTATAGCCATCTTTATCTTAAGAATATTCTAAATCATGTAAATAAATAATTACTTGTAACATACACATACACATATAAAATCTGTTAGGGTCTAAGAATTTCCTTAAAAGATAAGCTTCAGTTAATTTAATTTAAGTGTTCCCTCAGTAAAATGGCATTTTATTAGAAAAAAATATTATTTAAAAATTATTAGAAAATTTTCAAAAATGCAAAACTCCTCTGCTATTGTAATATTGCCTGAAAGATCATGATCATCCATTTATTTCATAGATATTTATTGAGTAGGTCCAAGGCAGAAAACATTGTGCATGATCTATAAGGATTCAAAAAATTCAAATAAGGGAGATATATGTATATATATATAGCATCAAAAAGAATTGGGGAAGTCCCTAGGGCAGGCTGAGCATAAATGTTTGGTTCAGAATAAGTGTTAACTAACAGCATTTTATTAAATTGTCTTTCACAAAAACTCATTTTATTATACCCTGTATAATATATGTTATTCTGACAATTAATTTGATATTTTTAGCAGCCTAGAAGGAATTGAAATTTCAAATATTCAACAAAGAATGTTCAGACCTCTTATGAATCTCTCTCACATGTAAGCAGATGTTTTTCTTGTTCTTCACCTTGATTTTAATATTTCCTTTCCACATGTATTGCGCTAATACAGCCATACCCAATGCATCCAATCTGTTAATGTTTTCGATTGATTAATTTGCCTAAACAATAATTAACTCTTCAAATGTTTATATTGAGCAGGATAATATTTAGTTTTCCATGGTTTTATAGAATCAAAGAAGATTTTTGAATGACAGAGAACATCAAGTAGCGGGACGGGGACCCACTCAGTCTTATAAGTTCTGCTCAGCTCTGATATCAGTCAGTAGCTATTGGTGTTTGCCTAATGAGCTAGTAATTTGCACACATGGTGTAAGTGCTACCAGATGAAGTGGTAATTTACATAAACAACATAAAATAATTATAAATAAAGACTTGCTATAAAAGGAGGAAGGTAGGGAAAAATCCTCCTCAGTGAAAACTACCTGTAATGTCAGGGCAACGACAGGAGTAACTATGTGTGGGTACAAAGGTAAACTTTGAAAAATAGTTTATTCCAACAGTGTGACTCATTGTTCCATTGATACCATGCTTTAGAAAGGTTTTCTTTAATTGAATGCAATCTTACAGCAGATATTAGAATGATCTCGTTGCCAGGGTGATTCATTCTCAATAATTTAGAAAGTGTCATGTCAGCCACCACCACCCTATAATCTTGCATACATTTTAAATCTAACACAGAGCACGCTGTTTCTGTTTTCCATAATTCCTCAGAGAGAATGCATATAAAAGTTTCCTTGGTTGCAAACAACGTAAAACACTCTGACTAAATTAAGCAAAACAGAGTTTGCTGGGGGAAAAAAAATGGTATAGCTCACAAAGCCCAAGAAACAACTCAAGGAACAGATGTGAATTGGCAGAAATGATGGCAGCTCTAGGATCCAGGCAGTATATCATCTTGTTGTTTAACAAGATGATATACTGCAATTGTTAAGCTTTTATCTTTATCTTTTATCTTTATTACTACAATTCTTCATACTATAAAGTTTATTTATATTTTATGCCAGAATACATGGCTTCACAAGCAAATAGATCTAATTTGAATCCCAATTTCTACATTCACTAAAAAATTTCCTCGTACATAATTTGCCTCCATTGAAGATTCATCTTCTCCCAGTGATACTAATACTTACTTCATGGAATTGATTTGAGAATTTATTCCTGAAACCTAGAAGATGCTCCATAAGCAGTGTTGGTATTGGTAGTAACACAATAGTAATTACTGATCACCTAGGTGGTGTCTGTACTGATGAAAGAATTTACTCAACAAATATTGAACACCTTATCGTGTAATGAAATCTACTGTGAGAGATATACATGCTAGCAAGTATTTACAGATCACATAATAACTTCTATAATAGAAAAGTCATGGAAGTGCAGAGAAAACACTTAACTCTATCTTCCCCTGAGGGTTAAAAAGCAAGATCAATTGCAGCAACAATAGGAGTGACGCAACAGTGCATTTACACGCACTAAACACTAAACACCAATAAAAGTTTCCTTGCCAGATTCTCTTGATCACATGCTAACAGTTTATTTATATTCTAAGACATGTCTAACAATTGTATATTCATTATGCCTATTTGCTGCTCTCACACACATATTTTTTTACGAAGTAAAAGCAAGTTAATGAGAGTTAAGTTTAAAGCTTCAGTACCCATAATGCTTTACATTCCTGAGTCATATATTGACATTTTCTTTCTACTGAGAAAATGTAGAAAATAAATATTAATGGATAGGGACACTGAATTAAATTTAAAATCTTATTTTGCCTTATCTTCGTACATCAGCTATTTTAAGAAATTCCAGTATTGTGGATATGCACCACATGTTCGCAGCTGTAAACCAAACACTGATGGAATCTCGTCTCTAGAGAATCTCTTGGCAAACATCATCCAGAGAGTGTTCGTCTGGGTTGTGTCTTCAGTTACCTGCTTTGGAAATATCTTTGTCATTTGTATGCGACCTTATATCAGCTCTGAGAACCAGCTGCATGCCATGTCAATCGTATCTCTCTGCTGTGAGTATTTCCTGGATGAAGAAGAATTATAGTTTCAAAATGTAGAATTATTTTCTAATTGCTATTAGAAAATAAGTAAACAATAGAATTATGATATTTAAAATTTTTCTTCTTTTTGATTATATGTTGTTTTCACATTCACAACAATGAAAATAAAATTACTTTAGTGATAAGAAAGAAAAATAAGTTTTAAAAACAAGAAAAACTCAACCGTCTTACATACCTTACAGATTAATGAAGCTCTCCTTCATTAGTTTTGTACTCTGGAGCCATAATATTAAAGCAAAAAAATATAAAGTCTTTTACTATGAATAACACCTTTATGGTCACGTTTTTACATCAAGAGCTGCATTTGCTTTTTTGTTTATATATCTAGTTCATAGATATATCGATTTAACAGACTGTTGTTTTTCTGGCCTCTGAGCTACTAGAATCTTTTCCATGCATAATTGGAAATATTTAAAAACAAACATGTTTTTATGTTGTGTGAATTAAGGTTTTGAATTTTTTAAAGGTGATTGAAAGGTATTATGTTAAATGAGGGCTACAAAGAAAAATAAGCAAGAACTAGTCGTCAGGGTGTTTATAGTATAGGAAAAGTGGTTTATAATTTATTTATATTCCCTCAAGCAAAAATCAATCTACATGATGTTCTACTTTTTTATGTGTGCTCTCTCATATTTTACCCCCCACCCTCTTTCAAAGCCTAATGTCTAATGGTTGAGTTTTTTTTTTTTAATTGCAATCTACTTAAGAAACAGAACTCAGAAATTATTTATTACTTAGTATTGTTAGTTGCAAAAGTTTACGTACGCTCAATTTCCCTAGAGAAGGACAGAATATAAGTTCAATATTTAAGGATTAGAATCAGATTTATAATTTATACAGTAATGTGATTTTGGCAACTTTGTGTAGAAGCTTGAGAGCCTAAAAAGAGACAGAGAAAGATGTAAAAATGGGAACTGAGAATCAGAACAGGTTTGTTTAGGCCATCTCTGGGTAAATAATTTAAGGGCCCCAAAATTGTACTGAATGCAAAGCACTTCATAATTATTCATATCTTCTAAATTATGGACCTCAAAATTCAGAATCATTACTCTATCACAGCAACTTCTGAATTCCTTCCTCTGGGATTTTGGATGTCCTTAGCTTGTTAAGCTGGGAGAATTTTAGAGGAAGGGGTGAAGTAAATAATAATACTCCCATCTTGGTCCCTAATCGAATGTTCAACATAATTGTATTTTGTTCATTTATTCAACGCTTTCAGGTGATGAGACCGAAATGGAAAAAAAAGCAGACAAGATCGCCCCTCTCACGGACTTGCATTAGAGGAAAACAGAGAAATGGTTTCTTTTTAGCTGTAGAGGGCGCTATAAGAGTGGTTATTAAAGAGAATCGAAGCAATCCTTAACTCAAATGAATTCTTAGAATAAAAATTAACTCCCGCCAAGATAGAAGAAATTTGGTTATTTTTTGCTAATACTAAAAATATTACTTCTTCTTGATAAGTCTGTTTATTTCTCTAAATTTGTGAAATTTACTGACCCTTATAGATGCGGACTGCCTAATGGGAATATATTTATTCGTGATTGGACTCTTTGACCTAAAGTTTCGTGGAGAATACAACAAGCATGCACAGTTGTGGATGGAGAGTGTTCATTGTCAGCTTGTGGGATCTTTGGCCATTTTGTCCACAGAAGTATCAGTATTACTTTTAACATTTCTGACATTGGAAAAATATATCTGCATTGTGTATCCTTTTAGATATTTAAGACCTAGAAAATGCAGAACAATTACAGTTCTGATTCTCATTTGGATTACTGGGTTTATAGTGGCTTTTGTTCCATTGAGCAATAAGGAATTTTTCAAAAACTACTATGGCACCAGTGGAGTATGTTTCCCTCTTCATTCAGAAGATACGGAAAGTGTTGGAGCCCAGATTTATTCAGTGACAATTTTTCTTGGTAAGAAATTCTGTATTATAAGCTCTTTCATTTAAATGTTAGAGTAAATCACAACATGAATCTCATTATACCTTCTAATATTTACAGATTTTTATTCCAAATCATCTAACCAGTTTTTCCCATTATCATTGAGGCAGAGTCTATCAGATTCCCCTAAAGGGATTCTTTTTCTAAATTTCCTCTTTATCATATAAATTCCAACGTCAAGCACCTTAATAAAAGACAATCACTAAACAATTGCATTTCATGAATTTTAAATCTTTGCTTTTATAATATGAACAAACTCAAAGTAACCATACAAGCCTTTGGCTTGAGAGTAGACATACAAATGTTTTCTCTTATAAAAAAAGTTTTTACATGTAGCTTAAAGTAATTGAATTATGAAAAAAATACTAGGAAGGTTAAATTTAATAGGCCCAGGATAGTCATTTTATCACTATAATCTCATTTTAATATGCCATTTTAAAATTAAACATTTCATTATTCCTTATTATTTCAGCAATACTTAAATTTTTTTTAAATTTGTGATTTTTGTGTACCTTAGTAATTCTTATGAAGAACAAAAAACATTTTGTGGTCCTCATATCTTCTCCTTAATAATAACAGTGTTTTGTTTGTTTTAAAAAATGTTTATATACATTAATAATAACCTTTGTGTTCTAAATAGGTATTAACTTGGCAGCATTTATCATCATAGTTTTTTCCTATGGAAGCATGTTTTACAGTGTTCATCAAAGTGCCATAACAGCAACTGAAATACGGAATCAAGTTAAAAAAGAGATGATCCTTGCTAAACGGTTTTTCTTTATTGTATTTACTGATGCATTATGCTGGATACCTATTTTTGTACTGAAATTTCTTTCATTGCTTCAGGTAGAAATACCAGGTACAATTTTTTTTTAATTTCTGTAAAGAAATATCTGTTTCTTCGATGTTTCTCTAAGAAAGAAAATTAAGGTCCTTAACACCAATTCGTTTCAAGAAATTTAAGTGAGAGTTATATGTACTTAAGGTTATGTTCAGTAAAATGTTTATGGGAGGAAGCTGTTCAGTTATTTCCAGAAATGCCTAAAAACATAATTACTATTGGAACAAAGGAATAATTACTCAAACAAATTATACTCAATATGTTGAAATTCTGGTAATCTCATGCTTAAGGTGACCTGAAAAACAAAAATCGGTCAAAATGATTATCAAATAATTACTTCAGTTATTTCAGAAGGTAAGAAATATTTCTTCCCAGAATACATAACAATTCAAAGAACATTATCCCAGAGTATGAGAGACAATAGAAGAAAACACTCTTGACATTTAAAAATAATGTGCATCATACTCATTAGGATGGCTATTATCAAAAAGCAGAGAAAGTAAGTATTGGTGAGGATGTAGAGAATTGGAACTCTTGTATGTTGCTGGTAGGAATGTAAAATGGCACAGCTGCTGAGAAAACAGTGTGGTGGTTCCTCAAAAAATTAAACTTAGAATTAACATATGAGTCAGCAATTCCACGACTGGGTAGATACCCAAAAGAATTGAAAGCAGTAAGTGAAACGGACATTCACACACCCATGTTCATTGAAGTATCATTCACAATAGCCAAATGGTTAAAACAACCCATGTCCATCAATGGATGAATGGATAAATATAATATGTTTCCTACACAAAATGTAATATTATCCAGCCTTATAAAGGTAGGAAATTCTGATACATGCTACAGCATGAATGGATCTTGAAGACATTATGCTAAGTGAAATAAACTATTCACAAAAGGACAAATAGGAGATAACTGGAATTCACAGGGGCAGAAAGTTTGTGAATAGTGTTGTCAGGGGTCGAGAGGAAGAAGGGATGGGGAGTTGTTGTTTAATAGGTATGAAGTTTCAGTTTGTCAAGATGAAAAAGTTCTGAAGGTGATTGGTGGTGATGGCTTCACAGCAATGTGAATATACTTAATGCCGCTAAACTGTACACTTAAAAATGGCTAAAATGGTAAACTCATGTACATTTTGCCACAATTTTTAAAGGTGCAAAATCCTGTTAACTGTATGTATAGTGCAGTATATATTCACATTTAAAAAATATATAAACATACAATTTTAATTTTATTCTATCCCATGGTTAGCAGTTAGTATCTCACATTTTATAAGCAACAAGAAAGAAAAATAGTATTAATTAAATTATAATAAAGATCTGAGTACTTGGTAGTTGTATATATACTACAGTGATTTTTATAAGGTTACCAAAGATGTTTTTACTAAAATAAATATCTAGCCAAAAGCCTAAAAAATGCATACCTATTTGTAAAACCAAATAAATAGCCAAAAGGAAATTTATTAAAGCTAAGTCTATATATGTTAAGCAATACTATATGTACTATTTAGTCATTAAAACATTTGAAAAGATATGATTTAATACTAAACAATATTGTGCTTCCTCAAATGGAATCATATTCTAATAATATATATAATAATATATAATAGGTGGAAAATATTTCTACCTAATGGAATACTTTTGTTGATATGTTCAAGAAAAGCTACTTAGCAATAAACCCTACTATTTTGCAGCACCAGCTCAAACACTGGCTCTCTGGAAAGTCATCCTGGAAACACATGTAGACCTGCTACTTACTTAATATGACATCAGAGAGAGAAAAATAAAGAGTCAAAAGAGGACTGGGGTAGAAACAAGGAAAAGCGTTTCTATACCTTGCAAATATCCATAAACATCTGAACTATTTTATTTTTCTCTTCCAGGTACCATCAATTCTTGGGTAGTGATTTTTATTCTACCTATAAACAGTGCTTTGAACCCAATTCTCTATACTCTGACCACAAGACCATTCAAGGAAATGATCCATAAGTTTTGGTATAACTACAGACAAAGAAGATCTATTGACAGCAAAAGAAGTCAGAAGACATGTGCTCCGTCATTTACCTGGCTAGAAATGTGGTCACTGCAGGAGATGCCACCTAAGTTAATGACACCAGCTCTTTTCACAGACCCCTATGAATCATCACTAATTTCTCAATCAACTAGACTAAATTCCTGTTCATAACTGACTCTGAATCCCATCTGCTAAAAGAAAGTAGCTTACAAAGACTTGAGGTTGTTTGGGGAAACTCAAAGTGACTGATTCCCATATAAAGGGAAATAAATTATATTGGTAATGTGTATATACTAGCAAATATTTTGCATAGGAAATTAAGAGAGATCTACTTCAGAAAGATTCATTCTTCTTTTTTTTTTTTTCTTACATTTATTGAGTACCCACTATTTGCATGGCATTGTGGTAAACTCCTGGAAGTAGACAGTATACAATCTTTTCAATTTTCAATATTAAATTGTGTTTAACTACAGTAGAATATACAAAGCCCATCTGCAGCTCCAGTTTAAGGTAGAGCTTTGCCTGTCATGCATATCAGCAAACATAAGAATCATGAACACTTTGAAGTTTTAAGATTTGGGGCTGCTCGATTATAATACCGTCAAGAGAAATTCTGAATGTGAAAATACAGATGTTCTGTTTTAAGAATTCATCTTAACTCTTAAGTCTTTGTACATTTGAGAGCCAATACAACATATTTATTACTATGAAAGAAAAAAGATATTGATATAAACTCAAAACAGCACTTCTCTGTCACTTTCTGCCCTGTTGTCTTTTTGCTTTAAATGAGAACCACCATATGGTATTGAAAAAGGAGAGTAAAAGTACTATAAAGGGATGAATCAGAAAGCTAGGATGAGGATAGACATTGCAATCAATTTGTGAATCCAGAAATGAAACTTTCAAATTTACAGCCAATTGATTTTCAACAAAGATGCCAAGACAATCAAGTAAATAATAGTGTTTTCAACAAATGATGCTGGGACAACTGGATATTCACATGCAAAAGAATGAAGTTGGATCCCTACCTTCACCATATACAAAATTAACTCTATATGAATCAACAATCTAAATATAAGACATATGGGTAAATCTTAAAGACCTTGGATTTGGCAATGGATTCTTAAATGACAACAAAAGGGGGAAAAAAAACATAAATTGGATTTCATCTAAATTAAAAACTTTTGTGCATCAAAGGACGTTATCAAAAAAGTGAAAAGACAACCTACAGAATGAAAGACAATATTTGGAAATCATATATCTAAGGAGGGTTTAATATTCAAAATATTTAAAGAACTCCTACAACTCAACAAAAGAGACAAGTAACCTAATTAAAAAATAATGGGCAAAGGACTCGAACAAATATTTTTCCAAAGAAGATATACAAATGGCCAGTAAGCACATGAAAACATGTTGAACATCACTAACCATTAGGAAAATGCAAATTAAACCACAATGAGATAACACTTCACATCTACTAAAAGGACTGTAATTTAAAAAAATAAAATGTGTTTGCAAGGATGTGGATGGAGATCGAAACCCCCTTCTACATTGCTGGTTTGAATGTAAAATGGTGTACCCACTGTAGAAAATAGCTTGGTAGTTCCTCAAAAGCTTATCTTAGTATTACCATATGATCCATCAATTTCAGTCCTGGATATAAGTCCAAAAAGAGTAGAAAACAGGATTCAAGCAGATACTTGTATGCAAGTGTTCATTGCAACATTATTCACAGTAACCAAAAGATGGAAGGAAAGAACCCAAGTGCCCGTCAACTGATGAACGGATAAAATGTGTGGTATATGCATACACTGGGATATTATTCAGCCATAAAAAGGAATAAAGTTCTGACACATGCTACAGCATGGTGAATGTGAAATAAGCCAAACACAAAAGGACAAATACTGTATGATTCCACTTACATTAAATATCTAGAATAAGCAAATTCATAAAGAAAGATTAGTTTACTGGGTGTGGGAGGGTGGGGAGAGTGATGCTTAAGAAGTGGAGATCATCTTCTTGGGCAAAAAATAAGTTCAAAAATTGATTGTGGATAAACAACTATGCTGTTATACTGGAAAGCCAGTGAATTATACACTTTAAATTGATGAACTTTATGGTATATGAATTATATCTCAATAAAACCGTTTAAAGGAAAAAGAAGAGCTAGAATGCACACATTTAGGAACTTAACTTCAGGAAAGAAAGGTCTATATATACCTTTTTTACTTTAAACAGAAAGCAGTTGTCATCAAGAGATGGCTCTACCTTGTTTGCACAGGTAACCAGGTCATACTATTTTTTTAGCTATTCTACTGGACTCTGAGCTATAGGAATTTTTTTGCTTTCATAAAATGTTTTCAAGTAGTTTTTAAATATATCAAAAATGTCTGAACCATGAAAACACTGGAATCAAAAACATTTATTGAGTATAAAAGTATATTGATTTCTTTTGAACTAAATTACCTGAAATTTGTTAAAAATATGGATTGCTTTGAGTTTTTTGTTCTTACTTGGGGTGATTCCAATGAGTTTTATACATGAGGAATGTGGTACACTTTCAATAAAAATCAGAAGAGAAAGCTATAATTTTGTTTATAATTTAATTCTCTTAACTAGTCAGACCATAATTTTTAAGAAGCTTACAAAAATGAAAATACATTTAAATTCTTTTATAGGATCATTTCAGGATTTATTACCTTAAGTTTTATTACTAATATCAAATGGAAAATTATGTTTCTTAAAGAGTATTTTAAAAAGAATAGAAGCAGTAGTCATGAAGACAGGACAGATAAAATGTCATCCTACAAAACGCTTAATCATAACCTATGTTTAAGGGTCTTAGAAATGCTGTGAATTTACAAAATATACATCTGAAACTACTTTTTAGCATGTAAAATATTTTCAAATGGTTTTCTTAAAGCCATTTAGTTTCCCATCTACTCAATTCATTCACTCTTCTTTCCACCTTCCCAAATAAAGTAACTTCCATACATACATAGATCAGAAGAAAATATAGCCCAATGCTAACATTGATTAAATCTTCATGGCAGAAATGCATTGGTGTCCTTTAAATCATTCACTATCCTGTTATGTTTGAAATATTTCAATAAAAAGTTTTAGAGTAATGAACCCCCAAAAATAGAAACAAAGTTTGCTTTCAACGAGTTTATTTTCGTACATTTTAAAAATTGTACCTTTTAAAAAATTACATGTAAAATATTTTTCTAATGTCAAAACATGCATCTCTTTATTACAGGAACATACCATATGTATTATCTTTAACTTAAAAATTTAATCAAGAACTATGACCTAATATGCTAAACAAAATTATTCTTTGCCCATCCATTTGTCCCCTTTCATAGCTCCATTGTGGAGCTTTAGATATAGTTCTGTACACATCTCCATATCTACAAAGAATTAAGATGACATATCAAAAATGCCCAGAGTTAAATAGTATAAGATTAGTTGGCTTAATCGTTGACACATGACATAAACCACCCCCGCCTACTCCCACAACACACACACACACAAAAAGCAACATAAGATATAGGAAAAGTATAATTGAACATAGTCAATAAGGTCACATAATATCAAAACAATCACAGCATTTAAATTTGATACATTAAAAACTAAATAATTTCTTTAGAAATATATTTAGAATTTAGATTACTTATAAAACCCCAGTAGTACAGAGCCATAACTGTGATAAAGCACTTTAAAGGGAACAATCAAAGATATAACAACATTGAATGCAAGAAATATTATCTGGAGAAGCAGTTAACCTTAGAAATAAATAGGGAAAATATGCATTCTTTCCAGACATGCTTTTATTTTCTAAAGTAAAAGCTTTTTTTAAAAAAGCCTCATAGGACAAAAAATATTTATCACATATTTTAAAAAGCTGTCATCAGTTAAAGTTCAAATCCCCGTTAAAAAAAATTTTTTTCCTTCAGGTCAATGAGGTTCTGATTTAAATATTTTTAAAGAAACAATTATCTTCATGTTAAAAACAGGAAGAAAAAATAGATTTTAATTATGTTGTCAACTCTTTTATTTAACAAACTTTTAGTGATTGTGGTGTGACACTGTTCTAGGTGCTGGGGATATGGAAGTAAATAAGATACAATGATTGGTTCTAGGGAATTTAGCCTAATGAACCTGGATCTAACACTGCTACCCTTAAAGTCACCTTCTTTGGTCCATAAAATGAAGCTCAACTTCAAACTCTGCCATGTTTGGCATCTTCTTGCAAATTGAATAGAATAATGGTCTATAGGGTTTGCTACTGATAACACTATCGTATTATCTACTGATGAAATTAACATTCATAAAGGATTCTATAAAAGTTTAGAAGACAGAAAGTATTTAAGATAAACAAATATCAGCCAGCATCAAAAATAATATCAGTATTCTGCTTTCACACAAGTGATGAAAACCAAGAAAATTTTCATTTTGAAATTTTTCATTTGAAATTTTTATACAGAACTACTGGAGATTTTCCTATACATATGGTACATGTGCAAATATAAATGAGAAAGTACGAGTTGTCAAATCAGTTGTCAGGCTTCAAAGAATCATAGCCTTCTTTTAAGAGGTCCCTCCATGTTTTAAGGAAACGTGCATTTTCTGTACATTTGAAGGCAAGTTCTTCCACTTGAGCTGATACTGCAGATGTGGCTTCAAGAAGTTTGGATAATGAAAATGCTGCCTGAAATTTAAAAAAAAAAAAAAGTTTATTTTTAAATTCTCATTTCATTTTATAGTCTAAAATAGTTAAAACCTTAAAACCACTGCCCAAGTTATTTTCTTTAAAAGTAAAAAATCTTCAAACTAAAACACCAGTTCTTCCAAGGAATCTAAGAAATTCTTTAATATGAAGTAAGCTGTGAGGAAAATGTCTAGAAAGATATCCATGATGTATGAGACATGACAAGTCAATATTTTTTTTAATTGAATATACATTGGAGTCTCACTTAGCTCAACAAGATGACTTGGACCCCTTGACACTAAGTACTAGAAGTATCTGAAGGACTTTATCATAAAAAACTTTCTGATATTGGTGATATTGGGGTAACAAGGGCATCGTTCACTATTTTCACCTATGAATACTTTAGACCATGAAAATGAATAGACCAAAGAACAGATATTCTGACAAGTAACATCAACAAAATCAAAACACATGCAGAAAATATGCAACTCTTGGTGGAAAACTAAATTAAAGGTTCTCTTCAGCTACGACATAAAGATAACACTATTCTTAGATAACACATCAGCACTCCATTCCACATATTCACTTGAAACCAGTCTTGTCTTGTTCAGCAAAAACAGAAGCTGTATCAGCACTTCATCTTTAAAACAAAACAAAACAAAAAACCCTAATACTTGAGCTATGAGATAATCCAGTTCATTCCCCAGTTTCCAATTTGCACAGGAAGGTCTATTCCACAAAGTTCACCCAGGAAGATTACACCTTACTTACGTTATCGCTTGACCCACTCAGAGTCCTTAAATACTGAAACTGTCACCCCCTCCGGTGGTATGTGTGTGTTAGGGTTGTAGATGAGTGTGTGTGCGCGCGTGCGCGCTAGTTTCTGGGACTTCGAGACTCAACAAACTATGCATTCTAGCAACCATAGGGAGGAGGTCTGTGACCAAACGGTTAATGTAACCTACCGGGATTACAGGGGCAGCGACTAACCCCTTCAACCTGGGTGCAGAGCAATGACAGTATTTTCAGCTGGCTCTGGGCAGGTGGCCAACTAGAACAACGGGCTCTTCCTAAGTCCCGCTGCGAGCAATCACAGCCTGATCTTAAGCACCAATAGACAGCAAGGCGGGAGGATGAGAGGGCAGACAGATCCAGCATACGCCCGAGCAGTAGGGCTGCTTGGGTTCGGGTTACAGCGGATAACAAACCAGAAGGCGAAGCAAAAAGAAAACAGGGAGGGATGGAGCAGGTAGAGGCATAATCCCTAATTCCTCAACACTAAATCTAAAGGCCGAGCTCTCGGGGGAAGGGGCGGTCGGTCGCGGGCTTCTCCCAACCCACCCCCAGCCCGCACCTTCAGGGGGCAGAAGGGCGACACGAGCCAGGCCGGGTGTGTGGACTCCCTGTCCCTTCCTCCCTGGCCCCGCCACTGTCCGTCCTCGGACAAGCACCGAGTAGGGACGCGGCGCGGGACCTGTCCGGCGACACTCACGTCTCCGATCTGCAGCTCCACCTCCTCCAGAGGGTCCACCGTTCGGCCACTATTCCTGCTTGGAAATGGCCAGTCCAAACTCACTGGGACGCCGGGGGAAGATGCTGAAGAGGCATCTGAAGACGAGGGAGAGAAGGGAGGCGGCGGTGGCTGCGAAGAAACCCGCGCGTCCTCAGAGTCTGCCATGGAGAAGTGCTGGGACGGCGAAATCAGAATTTAGCAGCGGAACCGACACCAACTGTCTTTCAACCGCTCCCGCCCCAAACCCAGAAGCCCCGCCTCCTCCCACTCGAAATCCCGCCCGGGCTTCCTGAGGCTGTCTGCTCAATTTCGCGAAGTTGATTCCTTTTTCAGGGCAACCAATGAGACGTCAGTCAATTTACCTTGGGCAGTTCACTGCTCCTGCGCAAAGCTCCATTCAAGGCTCAGAAGGCTCGTCAGCTAACTACAACTCCCAGGATTCCGCACGCGTCGCTCCACCTCCCAGTCCCTTCTGCCGTGTGTGCGTTGTCCTATGGGATTTGTAGGCTCTTCCCTACTTAGTCGCCCTGATCCAGTTTAGGAGACACAGAGGCGTAGACCCAATCTGCAACCCGAAGACGCGGGCGGCGCTGGAACTTGGAGTCCCTTTCTTTTTTCACCTTGGGTACATGACCAGAAGCCTCTGCTGGCCATTGCATCATGCGTGGCGCCGGCGCAGAGCGAGAAAGAGGCGGGAACTCCGTGTAGTCAACCTGTAGGCTGAGCCGGGAGGCAAACTTCAACACAGGGCTTGGTGCTTTCCGGCAGGTGATGGCGCCCCCCGAGGCCTAGAGGTGCAGCGCCCGCGGCGAGCCACAAGCAATACTCTTTCCGCTGGGTTCGACCGAGAGTCCTGGTTACAGTGAACATGCTGGTTCCGCTAGCCAAGCTGTCCTGCCCAGGTGAGAGGGAACTTCGGGGAGGGATAAATGAAGGAAGGTCGAGAGGTTAGGAAGAGACGACAGGGGCGCACTTGGGGCCTATAGGCGCCTCTCTTCTCCCAGCTCTCATTTCGTCGGCTAAACTAGGTCAAAGGTTACACCGTCTGCACCTAGCAGTGGATCCTAGGTTCCTCCCCCTGGGGTTGGTCGTCCCAATGGGAAGAATTGACAACTAGGCTAAAGGTCATGAGCGAAGGAAACTTACCAGGACGCCCTCCTCGTGCACTCTGAACTGAATTGTGCAAAATCCTGGCCCTGATCCTTATCCCAAAGCTGAGGTGTTTTCTATTGCATTGTTGAAAAGGGATATGAACAAAGTTTTTCTCCTTGTTCCTGACTTGAGTCGCGTCTTTGCAGCCATCCTAGTACATTCTTAAGAATTTGAAGTCTGATCTGTCACATCATGATTAACATTCAGATGATGCCCAAGTCACCAGATTATTAAATGGAGCCAGGGATTTTTCTACATTGTCTAAAATTAACTGTACGAGCTTATCGTGTTATGGGCGTTACTAGAACGGTCACGGTGACCTGTGAAAACAACATCTCGACTTTCACTTAAAAAAAATTAGAATAATGAAGTTAGATGTTTTGTTTCACTTGAAAACAAAATAAGTTATAAAATTCCAAAAAAAAGTTCAAGACCTTGAATTCTCTCACAACTGGCTTAATTTTTTTAGTTTATTTAAGTTAATTTGCAGTTATGGAATAAACAAGTATACATGTTGCAAATCCAAGGATATCCTTATTATGTAAATTCAAAGTAGAATTTTGTCATATTTGGCCACCATATGTTAAATAAGTAGAACTTTGTTTAAAGTGCCTGCTACCTGTACATGTAATACTACACCAAATGTGCAAAGATGCTATTTTTGTGGAATTTCAAAGTAGTCAGATGTCATCTGCCCTACAGCCTAATTTAATAATAATAATAAGTTGAAGTCATTTTTGGTCCAAGTGCTAACAAAATCCCACCAAAATTACCATTTCTATTTTACTTGGATGCTTAAATCATTGCCATTTTCATAGCCTGGTGTTAGTACTACTGCCAAGGAAGAGATAGACACACCTGTGCTTTCAGTGTGACTTTGATATGGTGGTGTTATGAGTTCATTTGACTTTTGACCTCACTTCTTTACCAGAAATTCAGCCAAGATGCCTAGCTGTACAAATCTTTAAAATGAAATGTCAGATTTGTTTCCAGAAAAGAGGAAATCAGACAGCCCAGTTCCAAATATTCACAATAAATTCATTAGCCGTATTAGCAATAGAATTAGAGTTTGGTCTAATACCAAATCATCAGTTTTCAGAAGCAAATGATAATTTCTATACACTAAACTAAAATGCATCATAAAACTTAAAAGATTTTAATACCTTTTAATAAAATGTAAATTAATATTTTAAAAATATTCTAAAATATGCTTTTGAATGGTGCAGTTCTCCTATAATGTCTTTATGTATTTTATATATTTTTTAAGATTTATGATATGCAAAGGATTATCTAAGGTTTTAAAAATTATTCCCAGTACTACAGTTTCTAGTGTGCATTTGCAAGTAGAGAAACTTAGCTTACTTGCTATTGTTTTTTGAGTGATTATCAAAAACAGATTTTCAATGTTTAAAAGGCTTTAGAGTTCAGTCATTCAAATCTCTTCCCCTCCTGCATTCATCATAATCTTTAATTATTGATTGTCTGATGCTAGGTTTTTACCTTTCTAAAAAGAACACTTTTACTGGAAAGAATAAAACAAAAATATGTTAATTCTTCAATTGGGTTTTAAAGAATAAAAATTTCTCCATTTAGAAAAGAATGAAAGAAAATAACTTATTTTCACCATAGCTCAGATTCAGTTACTTCAGAGATTATTTCAAATCCAGCTGTAATTTCAGAATTTGATGATGTTGGAAGGATTGAGACTGAGCTTCTCTGGGATCATCAATTTATATTCATCTCCTATAAATGGGAGTTGTACCTGCTGCAAATATAAGATCATGAAGGATAAGATGTTGTATTAAAATTAATAATTCTTAACTGTTCAGTATGTTCATGAAAGTTTAAATTTTATTATATATTCCACATCCAAACAAAAGTCTTGATTGGTCTCTGCTATTTATTTGTTATAGTCCATATTTAGAAATGTTCATTTCTAGGTAGATGCTTCATATAAGAGACAAGTTAAAAATTAGGAAAGGCCTTATTATTATTATTGCCCTGTAACCCAGGAATTAGTTTTAGGAAATTAAACCAGAGATTTGCAGGTTCCTGGATGAAAGTTGAAATTGTAACTAGAAAGGTCCTTGTCCAGTTAACAAATATATATTAGCAACTTGCTTTGTGTTAAAACATATACTAGATCCTACATCATAATATTTCCAAGGCAAAGATTGACTATAAAATTTAGAGCTGATGGGGAAGGGAAGATTTAAATAACTTCCTAAAAATTTTGTTGCTATTAATTAATTCAAACACAGAGTAGACAGATTCCAAAGCCTGTGCTTTTAACCACTGACTTTCCATGTTACCCTTTTTTGTTTTTTTTTTTTAATTAATAAACTTTATTTTTTTTTTTTTAGCAGTTTTAGGTTTAAAGAAAAACCCGAGCAGAATGTACAGAGTTTCCATATAACTTTCCCCCATTCTCCATTAACATCTTGCATTGGTGTGGTACATTTGTTACAACTGGTGAGCCAATATTGATACATTATTATTAATAATAGTTTACATTAGAGTTCCCTCTTTGTGTTGTACATTCTATAGGTTTTGACAAATGTATAATGACATATGTCTACCATTAATTACATTATCATACAGAATAATCACTGTCCCCCAAATTCTCTGTGTTTGATTTATTCTTTTGTATGTGGGTGTGTGTGTGTGTGTGTGTGTGACTTATTCATCCCTTTCTCTCTCTTCCTCAATCCCTGGCAACTACTGATCTTTTTTTTTTACTATCTCTTTAGTTTTGCCTTTTTCAGAATGTCATGTAGTTGGAATCGTACAGTATGTAGCCTTTTCAGATTGGCTTCTTTCAATATGCGTTTAGGTTTCCTCCATATCTTTTCATGGCTAATAACTCAGTTCTTCTTAGTAATAATATTTCATTGTATGGATGCACCACAGTCTTTTTATCCATTTACCTTTTGTAGGACATCTAAGTTTTGACAATTATGAATAAAGCTGCGTAAACATTCATGTGAAGTTTTGTTGTTGTTTTTTTAATCCTTGGTATTTTCTGTCTTATTTAAGATACACTCTTGAAATTTTTAGAACTGTATAATACATTATTGTTGGCCATAGATACAATGTTATACAGTAGATTTCTAGAGCTTTTTCATCTTGCTTGACTGTAGGTTTTGGGGTGATTAATTTTCACTTCATTTGGTTGAATGCAAAGTAGTACCATTATTGGATCATATGTTAAGAACATGTTTTGCTTTGTAAGGAAATGGCTATGCCATTTTGCATTCCCACCAGCAGTCAGAGTTTCTGTTACTCCACATCCTTGTCAGCATTTGTTGTTGTCTGTGTTTTGGATTTTAGCCATTCTAATAAGTGTGTAGTGGTATCTCTAATTTGAAGTTCTCTAATAACATAAAATGTTCAGCATCTTTTCATATGCTCATTTTCCATCTGTATATCTATATGTCTTTGGTTAGGTATCTGTTCAGATCTTTTGCTCATTTTTTAATTGACTTTGTTTTCTCCTTGACTTTTATGAGTTCTTTGTATATTTTGGATACCAGCCCTTTATTAGTATCACGTTTTGCAGATATTTTCTCCTAGTCTGTGGCTTTATTTTTTCACTCCTTCATGTTGGTCTTTTAATGCTTCTCATTTATAAGTCTAGCTTGCCTTTTCACAAAGAAAGATGCTAAAAAAGCATTAACCTATTATATAATACTGTGGGTGAATAGTAACAGTATTCTAATGAAGGAGAGTGTAAATAGAACTAATATTCAATCAACAAATATTTATACCTATATGTATAGGCTAATACTGGGATTTAGCATGAACAAGGAAACGACAGGTACTTTGGAACTATGCTATCTACTGGGAAATTCAGACAACTAAGCAAGACATTTACATTTATATCATTTTTTGGTCATATAGGTTTTTTAAATTTTCGTCAAATGATTGTATGATTTTTGAGATTTTTACCATACTTAGAAAAATCTTTCCAAATCCAAGATTCTAAAAAAAAAAAAAAAAATTACCAGCGTTTTCCCCATAACCTTTTGTGTGTGACTAAATGTTTTTTAATAACAGTTTAAACCATCTAAAGTGTACAGCTCAGCGGTTTTTAGTCTATTCAGAGTTGTGCAACCATCACCACAACCTGTTTTAGAACATTTTCATTACCCGCAAAAGAAACCCTATACCCAATAGCAGTCATTCTCTAAGCCCTCCAGCCCCAGTAACAGCTAATCTACTTTCTGTCTCCATAAATTAGTCTGTTCTGGATATTTCATATACATGGAGTCATATAATACATGTTTTTTTGTGGATGGCTCCTGTCACTTAGCACAATGTTTTTTAAGGATCATCCATGTTGTAGCATATATCACTACTTTTTTGTTGTTGTTGCTGAATAATATTCCATTGTACGGATATATCATTTTTCCATTTATCAATTCACTAATGGACATTTGGGTTGTTTTCAACTTTTTGACTGTTATAAATAATAGAGCTATGAACATTTATTTGCGCACAAATTTTTATGTGGACATGTTTTTATTTATCTTAGGTATATACCTAAGTGAGTAAGTCACAGAGAAACTGTGTTTAATATTTTGAGGAACTGCTAGACTGTTTTCCAAAGTGGCTGTACCGTTTAACATTCCCACTAGCAGTATATGAGGGTTCCAGTTTCTCCACATGCTTATCATCATTTGTTATTGTCTGCCTTATTGATTTTAGCCATCCTAGTGGATATAAAGTGGTGTCTCATTTTGTTTCTGATTTGTGTTTCCGTGATGGTAATGATGTTGAGCATCTTTTCATGTGCTTATAGGCAGGCCATTGGTATATCTCCTTGGGAGAAATGTCTGCTTAGCTCCTTTGTCTGATTTTAACTGGGTTGTCTTTTTATTATTAAAAATGAATTCTTTATATATGCTAGATACAAGTCCCTTCTCAGATGTATATTTGCAAATATTTTTTTCCCATTCCATGGGTTATCTTTTTACTTTCTTGATGGTATCTTTTGAAGCATAAAACGTTTTAATTTTTATGAAGTACAACTTACCCGTTTTTTGTTGCTTCTGCTTTTGACATCATAGATAAGAAATCATTGTTCCAAGGTCACAAAGATTTACAACCATTTTTTCCAAAAAAAAATTATTTTACCTCTTATATTTAGGTCTTTGATCATTTTAGAGTTAATTTTTTATCACCAAAATCTTTATTTTTTAACTTTTTATTTTGAAATAATTTTAGACTTACAGAGAGTTTCAGAGATAGCACAGATTAACTTCTATATAACTATAGTATAACTATCAAAACTAAGAAAGTAACACTGATGCAATACTATTAACTAAACTAAAGACTTTGTTCAGATTTCCTTTTTCTGTTTCAGGATCCAATCCAGGGCACCACAGTGCTTTTAGTTGCCATGTGTCCTTAGTCCAATTCAGTGTGACAGTGCTTCTGTCTTTTCTTGTCTCTCATGACCTTGACACTTTTAGTGTGGACTGGCTAGGCATGTTGTGGCATGTCCCTCAACCTGAGTTTGTTGATTTCTCAGGATTAGACTGAGGTTATAGATTTGGAGGAAGTATACCCCAGAGGTGAAGAGCCCTTCTTGTCACATCATATCAGGGAGTAAGAGGGTGATACCAGTATGTCTTGTTGCTGATAAAGTTAAGTTTGATTACTTGATTAAAGTGTGTGGCATATTTCTCCACTGTAAAGTTAATGTTTTTCCCTTTCCATACTATACGTGTTAATAGTCACTAAGTCCAGTCCACACTCAGATACAGGAGAATCAAATAATTCATGAATATGTCACCATTATCTTTTATATTTTGACTTTGCCTGTTAAAATCATTGACCAAGTGGAATTCATTTTGATATAAGGAGGGAGGTACGCTTTTTTCCAAATGACCATTTCTTCTCTCTTATTTGAAATGGCATCTTTATCATATACCAAATCCTTGTGTTCTTCTATTTCTGAACTCTTTATTCTTTTCCTCTGATTTTTCTATTTCTTCTCCCTTAACATACTTTTAATTATTATAGCTCCAGATACAAGTTTTTATATCTGTCAGGGCTAGTTCCAAGGGAGGAGTTTCTGTCCCTTTTTTATGATGAGAGAGATTATCAAAGAGGAGATACCAGAGAAGGGAGTCAGAAATTGAAGGTAATGGAGGAAGGGAGGATATCAGATCCCTCCTTCCTAGGGAATGTCCCCAGGAAGATGGGAGGGATAAGCCTTCTCATGCAGGTGGACAGATTAATATAAGTGAGGGGGAAAGATATCTGTTCTATTATAACCAGAGAGAATGAACAAAGAATGGACACAAATATGATTACTCTGGAGGTTGTTGCCAAGGAATTGAGAAAGTTCCCATTTAATTGCTTTTATCTTTCTGTGAGGTTTGGTGTGCTAGGGTATCTGCTCTAGGTAAGGAAGGAAGGAGATAGAATTGAAGGTTAAGGACAACAGAGGTTTAATGAACATTCTTGCAGATAAATCATCACACTTCTGTTTATTTCCATAAAATTCTATTTTATAACTCAAAGAAAACATGGCCATATGGGAGAGTCAACTTAAAAAGAAACTGACCATAAAACCCAGGTTGTCCATATTGTCCCAACATAATCATTAATGCTGCCCCTTATTACTTTCAAAAGTATCCAGTTTGGATGGCAGATTATATGGTCATTCTATTTATAGCTTAAGTTTGACGTGAGCTAAATTGAATAAATTAGTTTATTAGATACTTTAAAATATAATTTGAAAACATTGCTTTATGAGAAAAAGCTAACTGAATTGTTCATCTAGGAAAGAGTTTCTGGCCATATCACAACTAGTGGCTCTATAGCGTAGATCTAACTATTCACTGAATGTTTGCAGTTTTGATAGGTCAGAATATAAACAATATATAAGGTTTGCCGTGAAGTCATACAATTTCAGGTCAGGAAAGTAGAGTTCATCTAGTGACTCTTTACTTTTTTGGATGAAGAAACAAATCAAGAGAGGTTAAGTGATTTATTTAAGGTCTTAGGGCTAATTAAAAGAAAATTAACCAGAAACCAACTCTGATCCCCATCCCTAGACTTTTAAAAAAATATTTTTCCAGTCTACTCTTGTGGAAAACTAATCGAAAAAATAATAATATTGTTCATAATTTTCATGCAGCATATCAGTGCTTTCATGCATTAAAAATTAAGAAAAATTATCTACCTCTGCATGCTACAAGATGGTCTTCAACTTCCGTTGTACCTCGAATTACTACCCACTATACTATTTATCCCAGAGATAAGGACAAGCGATGGGAAGGTAAGTAATAATTTGTGTAAAATTGTTGAGACTTTCTAGATACTTTGTATCATTTTATAGAGGGAAATGTATTTTTCATGATAATGTAAACATCTAATATTATATGTGTGAAATCTATTACATATTAACATTTGGAAAAGCAAATACTTGCTAAATTTATAATAATAAATTTCAAAGCCAAAGGTTGGTTTATGGAAGCCAAAATAAGATACACAGTGGAACCATCCAACTAATGCAATAATATAGTTAGTATAATTCTCATGCAAAGCAGAGGGACAATTTCTATAAATAATGCTCTGAAACATAGTGGATATTTGTATCACAGTATGTGATTTTGTCAGGTCCTATTCACTTCAGACTTTTATATATTGTTTAAAACTTTTTTTTTGTCCCAGGAGTGAGCATGGAAAGGTTTGCAGAAGAAGCAGATGTAGTAATAGTTGGTGCAGGCCCCGCAGGGCTCTCTGCCGCTATTCGTCTAAAGCAATTGGCTGCTAAACATGACAAGGACATCCGTGTGTGTCTCGTGGAGAAAGCTGCCCAACTAGGAGCTCATACTCTCTCAGGGGCTTGCCTTGACCCACGTGCTTTTGAAGAACTGTTCCCAGACTGGAAGGAGAAGGGAGTATGAAACATTGTTTTTTATGCAAACTCTAATCTTTACTTCTATTTCCAAATTACTGGGTTATGGGAAGCCCTTTTCATGTAATTCTGTCTTTGAGAGGATAATTTTTTTTTTAATTTAAAAAGGGCAAAAAGAGATTGAATCATATCAAATATCATTATAATTTTAAGATATTAACTTATTTTTATATAATGCCTTCTTTGTGTTATATTTATGTACTGGATTTATGAGAAGGCATTATCTTGAGAAGATCTTTGAAAATTTGTACCGAATAAAATACAGCATTTTGACTTTGAGAGTATTTCTTAACTTTTTCCATAGGTGTTTATATCATTGTTCTTAAGAAAGTGTTATATAAATTTTCTGGGGCATTGCAATATCTGAAGCCAGAGGATAATATAATTTTCTAAAGAAATAAATTAACATGGCCTCTCATAACCTAAGCAGAAAAGGCACTGGTTTGATATGCAGAGAACCAAATGCTAGTTTTACTGCTCTCATAATTTGTATGACCTTGGTTAAAATCTTACACTCTACATATCTCAGGGGTTTTTTTTATGTAAGATGCGTTATATTTATCCTACCCTTAAGGTTAAAATATTTAGTATCTGTGAATATACTTTGCAAAGGTAAACTATTATGTAAGTATTTCTGTATTCTTTCCATATGGAGTAAATTAAATTCCAAAAATGTCATCTCTACTGTTCTTCCTAAAATATCAAGCTCCTTTAAACTAGAAATACTTTAATTATGCCTTATTAACTTTCATTTTTCAATATTGTATCAGAAATAGATATCATTGAATGATTATTGACATATCAATTTTAATAGAAAAAAGTTTTACACATCAAAGCCCTGTATAGCTACGCAGATACATTCTATTACATACATATTAACTGTCTTTATCCAAAGGAAAAATAAAACTTGTCTTATGTTTTCATCAAGCAGGAAGTTACAACTTGGAGCAAGTGCCTAGGCTAAACTCCCACAGAGACAGGGAGACAGGAAGCCATCCTCCTTGATGTTCGTATTTCAAAGATGTCTTCAGTGTCCCCAAGAAAGACATTTCTGGGATGCAAAACTGGCTTATTTAGCTTTTAAAAAAGATTCCCATACATCTCAAAGAAACAGAGGATTTACAGTCCAAGTTTTTGAAAGAAAATGATGAAAGAAAAGTGAGGGTAGTTCCCTTTACTCTTTTTTTTCTTTTCTTTTTTTCTTTACTTTTTGATATAGTTTTTTTTAATTTGAATTTACCCTTACAAATGTTAACTAAAAACTTTCTTTTCTTTCCTTATTTTATTTCTAGGCTCCACTTAATACTCCTGTAACAGAAGACAGATTTGGAATTTTAACAGAGAAATATAGAATTCCTGTGCCAATTCTTCCAGGTAAGATATGATAAGAATTCATGGAATCATAGAATTCCACAGGTGAAAGGAGCTACATTTCATCTGGTGAAATCCCTGCCTTTTATGAATGAGCTGGCTAAGGCCCAGAGATTCAAAGGACTTACCCAAAGTTATACAGCCAGCTCGTGGGAAAGCAGGACTAGAACCCAGTTCTTTTGTCTTCCAGACTAGCAGAATTGAAATAGCCTTGTAAGCCAACCAGGAATTTCTAATTTAGTGTTTCAATGTTGTTTTTAAGTTAATAATTAGAACTCTAGACCAAAATTATAAATAAATTGAAACTGTGACCATAAGATAATGTATATATTTATGCAGAAATTATGCAGAAATTGATTAGAATTTTTAAATTAGGTATTCTTGAGATGTTTTATCAATAAAAAGTTAGATTTATAAATTAAGCATGTATTTATAGGTCTTCCAATGAATAATCATGGCAATTACATTGTACGCTTGGGACACTTAGTAAGCTGGATGGGAGAACAAGCAGAAGCCCTTGGCGTTGAAGTATACCCTGGTTATGCTGCTGCTGAGGTTTGTACAGACTTGTTTTTAATATCTATGGGACGTAATCTCTTGAAAATAAACCAAGAATGGTACAAAGGTTAAGAAATAAATATTTTAGAAAAGCCATAGGATTTTGGAATTACAAGATTAGAAGGAATCTTAAATCTGTCTGTCTATCTACATATGTATATTAGAGAGACTCTTAAGAAGATCTAATCCAAAGACATATTAGACTTCCTTGTACACACGTCAAGTGATTGTCAAACTTATGATCGAACCCCATCAGGGATGGAAAAAAAATCTCATATTTCTATTGTTGGTAATACTCTCTTCCTTACAGTGAATAGAAACTTATTTACTGTTTTATACTGTAAAGGACAAATCTATCCCCTCTTTCAAGGGCAACTTTCCAATTATAATTGTGCCCTGCTTTCTTTTCTTCCACACCTTTACTTTGGTGTTTTTCTTCCCCAGGTTAAATATTCTTGATTCTTTCACCTTTCATGTTACATAGTTTGAGTTCCTTCAGTGTTCTCATTGCCCTCCCCTTTTTATCCCCTTTTTGCGATGGCGCCCAGAATGAATACATGACTTCAAGCCTAGTGTAGAGCAGGTCTATTATCTTCTTCATTCTAGAAACTGCTTTTTCATTAATGTCCTCAAAATAACTACTTTGGCAACCATATCTTATTGTTGATTCTCACTAAGTATTATTGGGGAAATTATGAAACATAAAATCTCCTGCTAACCCAGAAAAATCACCTCTACAAATTATAAAAAAGAATCAAGGCAGTTTTGTTATTGAATGAGTACTAAACCAAGGTTACAGTGCATGTCACCAGCAGCCTGTTAGGGAGATTGCCAAGACAGAAACAAATCTACCCTTTTGCATCGAGAGACAGTACAACTCATTATGTACATGTTGTCTGTAATCAAAGGAGAAATAAAACTTCTTGAGTCTTTTGACAAGCAGCATCCAGCACAGACACCCACAGAGACAGGGAACCAAACATCTAGCACAGACACCCATAGAGACAGGGAGACAGGACATCATTCTCCTTGATGTTCACATTTCAAATATGTCCCTGAGGCCCTCTCCCAAAAAAAAACCCACATTTCTGAGATGCAAATCTGGCAGGAGTTTTATTTAGCTTTTAAAAAGATTCCTGTCTATCTCAGAGAAATAGTTTATAGTTAAGTTGCCTAAAGAAAATGCTGAAAGAGTCTTGATGGGAAGGGGAGTTCTCTTACTTTGGCACCAGGGAAAATTCGAAAAAATTTTTATTTGGTTTCACCCTTACAGTGTATATGTAAGTCAAATAAAACAAACAGGTCCCTGTATTATACTTGCCGATACTAATTTCTGTTTTCCCAGCCCATACATATGCATTTGGTTTTTTGTACCCAAGTGTGGGGTTTTACATTTCTCCTGGTTAAAATGTTTTTGACTGGGATCAGGGTCAAAATCCCACATTGGTCATGTGTAGAATTCGTGATTTTCACTTTTTGAATGCATACACACACACAGTCTCTCTTACCTCCTTTCTTTTCTTCGGTTCCTTAAAGATCATCATCAATAGTTTAATGATCTGTTTGTCAGGTTTTTGGTACTCTAAGCCAGACTTCAGTTCTAATTCATAGCCACATTCTACTATTGATTCATTTTCAAGGTATCAAGGCAAACATTTATATCTTTTTTTTTTTTTAATCTCTATTGCTACTAATCTTTGTTATATCTTTCCACTCATGTGCTTTCTATTGTGTGATTCTAGTGGACATTTTGTACTTTGCTATCCAAAGGGCATTTTCCTCTAGAGAGGAAACAAACCAGGTACAAGTTAGAGAGTATTACTTCTCATCCTCAGAATTATACTTTTGACCAGTTTTTCCCTTTCCTTTTTGCTGAAGAAATAAACTTTAATCACCTTTGGGCTGTCTTCAACCTCTCTGTTTTGTTTTGTTTTGTTCTGGGGGTTTATTTGGAGTGCGGGAGATCTAAGGTCATTTGGGAGTCTCTCCTGACACCATTCTTCTCTTTCCACTCACTGCAATGTTCTTCTTGAGTTATAGGCCCCGATTTCAAGTTTTGCCCACATGTTTGCGATATCTGAACTCTTCAAAGAACTTTTGGTTTAACCTTATTGGTTTTTTTAGTGACCTCTCTAGTAGCTTCTCCATTTTCTTCCTAATCAAGGTTGTGGCATTTCTTTCATTTCCAACTGTTTGAGCTGTATTCTTTTATATTGTAGAAGGGAATATCTTAAAAACATGTCTCTTTTTGCCTAGACATTTTAAAGCCTATATTTCTATAATCTAGAGAACACGTTCACTTTCTAAAAAACTCTAAGGTTGTTTCTTGTTTCTTTTCAAGGTAGTTATGAATCTTAATGTGATAATGAAATATGTTTTCATTTTAGGTCCTTTTTCATGAAGACGGTAGTGTAAAAGGAATTGCCACTAACGACGTAGGGATACAAAAAGATGGTGCACCAAAGGTAAACATTTTAATAATCGTGTACTTAAAGCTACAGAACAAGAATCAATTTAAACTCAGTAATTTAGTCTTGCTGCACATTAAGTATATGTTAGAATTTTTCTCTCGTTATTAAAAAATACAGAAGCATCTTCGAACTATAAACATTTAAGCAAGTAGATATAACATGTTTAAGAATAATTTTTTTTTTAGGTAGAAATATGTCTCATACAAATATAAAAGAAATGTGTGTCAAAGATTTTATTTCATTCATCAAGGAAGGAATGAGTAAGGTGTTGTTAACAACCAGTTTAAAAAGAATTCAGAAACCAGCCATCACCTGCTTTGCCACCACCAGTTGTCCTCTCTGTGGACAAGAGGCATTTGCATTACTATCAGCAATACTGACAGAGTCTTCGGACATAAACCTGATTGCCTTCCTCTTATTCAGATATAAGCCTGGATGGTTTTCAGGTTTTCACACCTTGTATTTTCGGATTTGGAAAAGAAAAACTCTTAGGATATGTATCTCACACTCTATAAGATTCTTTGGAAAATGATATTATTTTTCTTATATTCTGTGTTATGGTTGTTTTCTATACTGTCATAATTTAATTTTAAATTCTGTTATTCCTTTAAAATGTTCATATTTAATATTACAACAAAATTGAAGCACACAAATTCTGTCATTCTGATATTTCATTTTTTGTGTGTTCTCATGATATTAGTTCAAACATATTTTTGTGTTCTGTGTTTTGTATTTGTAGAAACATATTTTATATATTGTATTTATATAGATAAAATAGCATAGACAAGTACAGTAGAGTCCTAATAATTTGAGCTGAAAAATCTCAGTTTTTAAAATAATTATTTTAGTACCAAAAGTTTGGAGTGGGGCAACCAAGGATTTTGTTCACTCTGTTGTTCTATTCTCTGTTGAACCCACTGCCGTTAGGCTTTCTTCCCTGCCATCTCACCGAAATAGCTGTTGTCAGAGTCACAAATACCTCCATCTTGTCAATTCAGTAGTCATTTCTCTGCCTTCTCTTGACCTCCTATCTGGCAGCACTGACACAATTGAATAGCTTCCTCCTTGTTGAAACACTTTCTTGACTCGGCTCTTCACGCTACCTCTTTTGGTTTTTCTCAGTGTTTCTCTGGCCCCTCCTCTTGTTGCCCTGCCTGCTTTTCCTCTTTCTTCCTTTAAATAGATATTGAGGCTCTAGGGCTTAGTGTGGAGTCCTCCATCTACATTTTCTCCATAGTGACCTCATCCAGTCACATGGTTTTAAATACCTCTTCTGACTTTCAGAATCGTATGTCTTCCTGCTTATTCAATAACTCTACTCCCATGTCTAATAGGCATCTTGTAAGAATTCTGACTTGGACATTTTTAAGTTTCAGAGGTCACCCAAGGTCAGACAGATATTAAGTGGTTGGGCTGGGATTTGAATATTGGCACTGCAGCTCCAGGGCTTGTCCCTTGAACACTGAAGGGCGTGTTTTGCCTCTCAGAGGAAACAGAAATATGTTAAGTAGTATTTAGTTCATTATAATTATTTTATAATTGGTGCTGGGAAAACTGTATGTCTATCTGGAAGCAAATAGAGTTGGACCTCCCCTCAAAAACAAATCAAATAGAGTTGGACCTTCATTTTAAAAAATTCTGAAGATTTCTTCCTTCCTTCCTTCCTTCCTTCCTCCCTCCCTCCCTCCCTCCCTCCCTCCCTCCCTCCCTCCCTCCCTCCCTCCCTCCCTCCCTCCCTCCCTCCCTCTCTTTCTTTCTTTTTTTTTTGGCGAGGCAACCCTTGGTTGACCTCACAGATTACAAAGACCTTGTCAGTTTACGATCCTTTATTTTTTACACCTACAGCATCTGGTCTTCCGAGGTGGTCTCCCATCCAAGTACTGACCAGGCCCGACCCGACCCTACGTAGCTTCTGAGATCAGACGGGATGGGCTTGTTCAGGGTGGCGTGGCCATAGACTGATTATTTCTTAATAATAAAAAAAAATCAGAAAGGAGAGAAACTCTAGATAATAATTATAACCTAGGAGTAGGATATGCCATTTTAATAAGAAATTAAAAATCTATAAGAGACAGACTTTTTTTTAACTAGGATTTTTTTTTATTATTAAAAATTATTGGGATGACATTGATGAGCAACATCCTATCAGTTTCAAGTGTATAATTCAACAATAAACCGTATATATATATATTGCATTGTGTGTTCACCGCCCACAGTTAGATTTCTTTCTGTCACCACATATTTGACCCCTTTACCCCATCTACCTCTCCCCTCCCTTCCTTCCCCTCTGGTAACCACTAGTCCACTGTCCATGCCCATGAGTTTCTGTCATGTTTGCTCATTGCTTTTAGATTTATATCTGACTTACTTCATTTAGCATCATTAGAGACAGACCTTTTTTAACTATATGAAAATTAAACACTTCTGTGTATCAAAGGATACTATAAAGTCTATGATTAAACAGTAGATCAGAGGAAACTCTAACTATAGTATCAAAGAGCAGTAGTACACTGATAAGAAAAAAAGTTACAGTGGAAAAATGAGCAACATCTAAAAAACGGACATTTCACAGAACAGCAAATCCAGATGATCACTAATCATATGGAAAGATTCTTAAATACTTTTCAGAGTCCACAGCTTAAATATCATTTCTTCAAAAAGGCTTCTCCTTTCTACCTCATTCAGAAGAGTTTTCTTCATCTCTCATAACAGCCGGCGCTTTGTTTCATAGCCCTTAATCACAGTTTGTAATGATACCCTCAGGTGCTCATTTAATGTCTGCCTCTGTGAGCAGTCTGAGGAGAAGGGACATGTTTTTTTTTTTTCCTGGTCTCTGTATTCCCTGTACCTAGCATAGAACTCAGCACATTGTAGATATTCATTTAATATTTTCTGAAATAAAAAGGGATGCTGAAAATAGTAGTTAGGAAAATGCAAATTAAAATAGCAGTGGTATTACTACACTTAGCAAAAATGTAAAAGAAAGTTATATCTATCACTAGCTGGACTATAGGGAAAAGGGTCTTATATACTGCTGGTGGAAATATCGTTTCAGGCTTTTTGGAAGGCAATCTGGTAAACATCTGATAAAATAAAAATAGGTGTGCCCTTTAATCTAACAGTGCCACTCCTGGGAATCTATCTTATAATAATAAAAGCACCCATAATGTAAGAATATATGTACATAAACGAAGGTGAATGTTTTATAATGTTGTTTATTGTTGCAAATAAAATGGAAACAGTGAATGCCATTACTCATTAGCAAAATAGTCGAATAACCTATAGTATTTCCAGAACCAATAAAGAGAAAGATTTGAGCTATACAGTGACTTGTAAAGATTCCCATGAAGTAATATTAAGTGAGAAAGGAAAGATTCAGAAAAGTTTATATTATGTGACCCTATGTTTATAAAGTTAACCAAAAACTTTAAGCTTATATGTATCTCCATATGTGCATGTGAATATATATTTTGGTAGAACTGTACATATGAGGTTGTTAACATGGTTTATATGGATGAGTGAGGTGTAATAAGATAATCAAAAGGTACTGATTAAAGTTATTTGTAGGATGTGCGTGCATGTGCAGTATACATGTTTTGCATATATGTGACATGGATAAGCACTATACAGGAAAAAATAGAAGTTACCAATAAACATGTGAAAGATGTTCAAACTCTCTAGTAACCAAAGATATTAAATTAATAATGAAATAATTCTCACCCTTTGGACTGAAAAATTTGGCACCAAGGATATTCATCTGAGCAATGCTTAAAATAGTGAAACTCTAGAACAGCCTAACTATCCAACTATTGAGAATTGGTTGGAAAATTAGGGGAATCTATTCAAGGATTAAAAATGAATACTTTATTTGGTATATATTGCCGTAGGCAAATTACTTGATAATATAATATGAAAACAGTTATAAAACAGTTTGTCAGTCTAAACCTGTTTTTTTGTATGACTGTGTCTGCATGTATACATATATGCAAATATGTGAATAGGGACATATCAGGAAAGATATATTTCATTAGACTTTCCTGATTATACAATATTTTTTTATTCAGTAACTTTGAGTGCCTACCATGTGCCAGACATAAGTGCAAAATATAGAAAGCGAAAGAAAAAAGATTTTAATTATAGCTTTTTTTTTCCTTGAAAAATTTCAGTTTTACAATATACGTTCAGCAGAGAACAGGTAAAATTAAAGTGAAAAAGGAGAGCTGAAGAGTATGTTTAGTATGATCCTCTTTTTTTGAAGGATATAAATAGGCTCTATGATTCACAAGAAAACTATTAAAAGTGTTTTGTGCTTCAGAGGATAGGATTGGAGAAACTGGGAACAGTGGGGAAATAGCCTTTCATCTTTCACTTTCTATTTATTTGTAGAGAATTTGTTTTAGCATGAACAGACTTTATTTGCTTTTTTAATTCTTACAAACTACCATTTTTTGAAGTAAAAAAAAATATATATGCATAACAGACACAAGATATATTATAAAACTTAAATTAAATTCCACTTATAACAGTAGTTAGTTTTATTTCTGATATATTTGCACACTCTTCTATACCTGAATCATAGTTTAATTTGAGGCTGACTAGAATGTGAAAATTTTTAAAATTGTCATGTGTTGCCATTTAACATTTTTATTTTTTAGACAACATTTGAGAGAGGACTAGAACTACATGCCAAAGTTACAATTTTTGCAGAGGGTTGCCATGGACATCTAGCCAAGCAATTATATAAGAAGTTTGATTTGAGGGCCAATTGCCAACCCCAAACCTATGGAATTGGACTGAAGGAGGTATCCTGGTTTGTTTTGGTTTGTTTAATGTCAAAAATCATTTGTATTACCATGTAATTATATTGATTTAATTTTAGAGTTATATTTTTTATAAACTTGAAATGTTCATTGTGACAAAATATTTTGGATATTTTTCAAGAGGAGAAAATATTACAGATCAATTTTTATTATTATCTAAATTGTATCTGTATGTTGTAATTGTTTTATCAAGTGTTGCTTGAAATGTCTTGAACTTGAAAATATTTGTAACATTGTTTTTCATTATAATGCCATCTGCCCTAATAGGATTTGACCTGTTATTCCTATGCTGTTTGTAAGATGACCATGTCCTACAAAAATTTTTTTAGAATTGTAATATGAAGATAATTTAGGTTATGAAACATACACAGACATAGCATATTCATCTGCAACCTAAAATTTAGTTTAAGTGTTGTAGATTTTCTCAGTTTATCTTAGGCTTATTAGAGTGTAAAAGTTTCATTATAATCCTTTTGTTTAAATTTATTTTTAGGGCAAAGCTCAAGAAGGCTCAAATTCTATGTATAGCTAGGTTCATTATATCGTGAATAAGGACTTAATTGTTTTGGTAGATTGCACATAATATCTGATTTTTAGATAACACTTCAGCTGGAAATTTTTAAAAATTTTAAACACCATTTGAAAATAGGATGAACAATTTACTTCAACTG